GTTAAAGGGAATACCTGTCCTGATCTCCAGATGAAATGTAATGTATAAGAATCTGTAGCCAGTTATACTTGGGATCTCTGCGTTCATGGTTTGGTTCTGTTGATTTTTGGTTATGGATATTACATAGGGATTTACAACTAAAGTGTTGTTTTTTTATTCTAAGTTTCTTTCAGTGAGCCTTGCATTCCCACCACAGTCATGACCATGCAAACTGTATCGCCGTTATAGCTTTCAGTGAAGCAATATTTCACATCTCTTAAGCCTTCTTAAGAAGTATGTATTTTGAATATTCCAAATGCAGGACATTTTGTGAATTTTTGATATACGTATATGAATGATTTTTATTTTCACTGCCATGACAAAGATCTGTGATCTTCTCTCCTCTGCAGATTGTATTGATGGTGAAAAATGAGCCGCATTTTTTTTTTCTTTGTATAATACTGCAGTTGTTTTGTGCTGTATTCCTCCTAAACAGTGAAAAGTTTTATTGTTGTTATATTATTACCGTTATTGCTGAGATGAGATGGCTTAGAAACAAAATGCAGATTTCTTATGGAAACCGATAGCCTTGAATCTATAGAATTTTTATGCTAAAAAAGAGAATGTATAGACAATCTTGTCACAATCAGAAGCTACTCAAAGCACTGATCTCCAGTGGACATTTTACAAAGAAATCATGGTTTTCATATGTACTTGTTTTTGTCCCATTTGAACCTTCTCTCCATTGACTTTTTTATGTTACATGTTTAAGGTGTGCTGGTTGATATAGTCAAACGTGTGAGTGCGTATGGCCTTGAGGTATCTGCCACCACATGACGGGCCGCACCGCACAAACAGTGCAGACGCACATATAAACTAACATGATATGTTAAATCACAATCTTTTAGTATTCCCCCCCTTAAATTTTTTTTAAATGATACGTATTTGTGCTTGCACTTTAGATTATTTTCTTTAATTTTTGAAGAAATATCACATTGCTGTAAAGCATGATGAGTTTGTAGGTTACAGTATTGTAGCTCAGTTTTGTTAATATGAATAGGTTTGGCATTTGTGAACTTACTGCAGTAATGGGAGGATATTTGGGATTACACATTAAAGGAAGCTGCCCCTTGCCCCACATTTGTTTTTGTACTGTAAGAAAAAGCTTGCTTAGTGTAAACCCTGTTGTTTTTAGACCTACTTTTCGGCTTTGTCTCAGGATTGTGGAAATTGCGTATGTTGAAATTATTTTGTAAACGTGCAGGACAACGTACAGATTTGAATGACCTAAATAGTTTGCACAGTGGAATGGATAAGTATTACTCCTAAGTGTTGTGATTTTACAACAGGTGGTTAAATATGCAGATCACTCTGTATGCACATGGGGAAACCATACAGGGTTTTTTTCAAAATCTGATTGTGAACTACAAGTGAAACAAAGAATTGATATTCAAAAACTGACTCAGAATGAAATGTTATTGAGCCACTGTAACTCATCATGCAGTTTTGTTGAAACCGAAATGTCCATGTGAAGGTCTAATGGATGTTAAAGTTCATCAGCAAGTCAAGTATGTACATTAATATATAATCAACATTTACATTCAGAACAATTCCACACTGGGGCTGTATGGAAATACTGTGCTCATTTTTTTTTTCCACACTTGTTTCACTTTCCTTTCCTTTAAATACCTCTGTAGAGGTGAATCTCATTTTCCTACTTGCTGTCAGTCTGAGAAAATGTAAACATGCAAGAGATAAACTTGTATTTATGCTACTGCTGCCTGCTTACAACAGTTTGTCCAGCAGTGAGCCTAAGACGAAAGACTTGTGTACTCTGACAGAGCGATAGTGTCTTTCTGATGGCTCATTGTCTGTGGACCAAGAAACTGAGCTCTGTTTTCTCTGTGGCTTTACTTCATGTCTTTTTCTATACTCAACAGGTTTTATTTTATTAATGCATTTTGATGATGAAGAGTCATTACCGCAAGCTACTTTGAATTTGTCTGTTCAGGACTGCTATGATATAACTTGTTAATGTGACTCTTGGATTGAATAAAAAAAAAGAAATGTAAACAGGCAGTTGTGTCACTGTGGCAGTGGTAATTGATAAGGTGCATGTTTGGTAGCATGATATAGAGCTGGAATGGATGGTGTGAGTGTGTTTGAACACTGTCAGAAAGGGCCCAAATTTAAATACACTTTTCTATAGCATGGCCGTAGTGTAATGTTAATGAAGAACTTAGTTTGCACTTTATATAAGCAAGGATTCAACTTAAAGCACTCATTCTTCACTGACTTGAAGTTATTTTTTATGATTGCTGAAATGAACAAACAAGTATGTTAAACTAAATCCCCTTCCTTACCTGTTGGCTTATAGCATAAATGTCTCCCTCTTGAGGTAACATAGTGGCTGTGCAGTCTTGTGCAATTGCATCAGGTTTACTGTATTGAGGTTTTTCATGTAATTAATACCTGTGCTGTACATAATTCCTATTTCAGGAGCTGCCATAGCGGCGTGGGTCAGTCTGCTTTGGTCCAGACTGAAATATCTCTATGATGGTTGGTCATGGGTACCATGGGCATTCAGTGTGCCTAGAGGAGCAATCCTAATGATGGTGGGAATTCCCTGACTTTTCCTCTAGAGCCATGATGAAAGGTTTTACTTATCCTGAGAAATATCTCAACATCTACTACATTGGATTGGTACAGAATTCTGTACATAGATTCATGGTTCCCAGTTCATGTATCCAAGTGACTTTGGTCATCACCTGACTTTTCCCCTAGGGCCACAACAAGTGTTCCTGTTTGTGGTTTTAAGTGAAATGTCTTGACCACTGTTGGATGGATATCTATGAGAGGTACAGATGTTCCGCTCAGGATGTAGTAAATTAGATGATCCTGTAATTTTTCCCCTAGCCCTAACCAGTTATTTGGTTTATGACAAAATACCTGCAAAAGTAAAAACATTCCTCAGCCACTTTGTGTTCAATGCTAATTAGCAAAAGTTTCAATGTTAATTTGCTTACCTAAGATGGTGAACATGGTAAACATACCCGCTAAACATCACCATGTTGGCATTGGCATTGTGAGTGTGTTGCTATCACAGAGCAGCTAGCATGGAAGTCCTTGTTCAGTCTATTGAAATCAACTACTCAATAGATGTAGATAAGGATTACTAATATTGCCTTGTGTGTAACAGGCAATTAGCTGCTCTCATTAGTGGTGTGTAACTTGAAACAAGGTGCTAATGGTGTTTTCTCCATTAGCTCCACAGACAAAGTACATTTTCAAAGTGAGCACTTACTTATGAAATCAAGAACTATCCTCTCTTGCAGATGTTATTATACTTAATTTATTACTGAATGAGACTCCATCAAGAGTACCCACTGTGTTGCTCAGCAAGTAAAATGTTAGCCTGTGTTTGGGGACAAACGTTTAATTGTCTGGAATCAGTTATGACTCAATAGACAAAGGATTTGTCCTCATTCCTCTTTTATGTCTTGTTTTTCATCCTGCATGAGTAAACATGCGATTGTTCTCAAAGGATATTTTATGCATTTTTTGAGCCACATCTAATAGCCTGAACTGAGCACAGCAGAACTTCTTAGAATGAAAAAGAAATTCCCTGGGCAAAGTGGAACATTGTAGTATCTGTTGAATGTGCTTGTCACTTCTTTTATTTTAATTTTTGGTCCTTACACCATTGCCCTCCACAGCCCTCTCCTATGCCCCTTCCTCTTCTGCCACCCCAGCGCTTCTGGGCCTCAGCTGTTGCGTTTATGAAAACAAGACACTCGATTATGTGCAACTCATCTTTGTTCGAGCCCCATCAGAAACCTCATACATCCAGGGTGGCTCACATCGACCCAACAATTTCTGATATGAGGCCTGTGGCTTGATGGATGGTTGCTTTAAAGGTGTGTGCGTTGTGGTGCTAGTGTTGGTGTTTGGGATTAGTGGCCAATTGATCATTACAATTGGCTTGGAACAACAAGCTGCTGTTGTGGACATGAGGGTCATAAATCTGTCCGTGGGGAGCGGGCTGATTGTGTTATTTGATGTCCCAGTCCTGTTTTGGTTGACTTTGACTGAGAGAGGTCTAGGTGTCAGGGCTGATTGTGTTTAGGCCTGTGGGACATCACAGGTAATGAGATTTCTGCCTATTGACAGGCTGGGTAGGTCGTTGGGGTCTATTGAGGGGTGGAGCAAGGAAAAGAAAAAAGGGCAACTGGTTTCATGGAGAGCGGCAGTAAGGGACTAGCGGAGTTAAAGATTCTAAAACCATATTATCTCAATCAGTGTACATGTGATGGGATCCTACCTGAACACTAAATTATGTGCCAAAGTATTTGTTTGTGCACTTTTCACTGGTTTGAAGTGGGTGGAGCTTGGGTGGATAAAGCTAATGCCACTTATTATGATGAACCCATTAGCATTTAGCAATATTTGAAGTAGAAAAAGTTGCTTAGGTTGCCAGGACACAAATCTGAGTAACTTTATTCATAAATAGACATGAAGTTTTCTTTGGGCTTTGAATGACTTGTTTTCACATCTTTGCTCGCACTGTTTAAGGCTGAAGACATAACGTCACAAAAAACATCTTTCTGCTTTGATTTTTATTTTACTGCCAACCCTGCCCCTTTTGCACACATCAGTTGAGTCACCTCTTGTTAACACTACAACAAGAAGATTTAGCAACAACTGTCCCACTATTATACCACCCACAGGGTTTAACAGTAGAATGGATGCAGAAGGCGAAGAAAGATCCACAATTTGCTGCCATTATATACAACTTACTATATATAGAGATGTTGGAGGTGTTGATAGAAGGCTTCCACACAAACAAAAGTCATCCAGGAGAAATGCTTAAATCAGGTGAGGAAATATGCAGCAATGATGGAAGAGAGAGGAGGAGGAACAGGAGAAGGGAGGGCGGTGATAAGGGTGTGGGGAGGGGGGTGTTGATTGTTTCTCATACAAGAGTGGTATCGCAGACGGATCTCCATACCAGACCACAGGGTACTCTGGGCTCTGTGTGTCTGTCACTGGAGCCAAGAAGTGTGGGAGGGCTTTTGACAACTCTTTATACATTACCAGTTCCTGTCTTTTTTTTCTCATCTTGTGTGTTACTGTCACTCTGTCTCTTACTGTCTTTTTTTCTTTCGGTTTCTCTAAACATTTTTTTGCTTCAATCTGGGTCCCAGTCTAACTTATTACACTCTGCGTAAATATGGTCAGCGTCAGTTTGCAGAGCACTGAAGAACATCAGCGCATCTGGAAATAAATTGTCCAAACTGACAACGAGAGCAGATTTCAAGGAATCGATTTTTCAAAGGTGAGTGTTTTATTTCCTAGAAAAAAATAATAATTAAATTATTATAAGAGTAATTGTATTTGTAATACAGCATTTGGCTGTAACCTATGGTTTTATCTGCTGTTTTATGGTGAGAGGAAATCTACAGAATATATGATTGCATTTGGAGTAAACATTTTAACAACGAATGAAGTGGAGTAACAAAGGTTGGAATGATATGAAACCGTTTGAGAGATTAGGCTGTTAAAACTGTTTAATGTTAGAAAATTACCCTTACAGAAACAGATGAATGACCAGCTTTTAACAACAAGTTTTAGACAAGTGCTCTATGTTATGAAAAAATAATGCACATTTTCTATAGAATATTAAATATTTTTTCATAATCACTTTCTTATAGTTAACAAATAAAGCGGGTCTAATAGTGATCTTGTATTTATTTCAAATAAACATGATTTAAGTGAAAAGTCCTTAACTGAGGTCTGAAATAAATCTTGTGGACAACATGTTGTGATGAGACAGGGTAATTAGACACGGGGCGAAATCTGTGAGCAAAATGGCGATCAACAAGTGTGAAATGAAATGAGCACGCCATGATGACCTTGTAGAGACGCTGCCCCACAGCCCCTCTTGTTGCCTTCAGCTTGGGTCCCATCACTCTCTGTTGCTTTTTCTCCACTCTCCTCTTGCTCTTTTTTATTTCATATAATTTCAACTTGAAAAAATAAATGTATTAATATATGAAACGACCCATGAACTTTATGCATTTCCCTCTCACACCGTCTGCGTAACGTTTTTTCCTAAAATGCCATATTTTTTTATGTTGCTTCACTGTTTAATTTTTTTTAACAGCTTTAATTGAGTTTTCCTCCCACAGTTGTGTTGAACCCCATTAAGTCTTGTTATGTTTTGCAGTGATAACCCAGTTTCCCAAACGGGATATTAAAGTTCCCTCCTGTGTTTTACTCACTCAAGACTCTTTGGCTGCACCTGCCTTCTTTCCTCTCCCACAACCAACCGGCATTCCGCTCCCGTAGGCTGTGCACCCCGCCATACTGACAGAGAGTCCCTGTCGGCCTGATGTCCTCAGTTGTAGCCCCGGAAAAACCCACCTCTAACACCATGGGCCCCAAAGAGGTCAGTGCAGATCTGACACAATTGTAGTCGATTAGTGGCATGCCATACAGTCTGATAGAGAAAATCTAACTGAATCTCGACATTGTGCAAGCTTCTTCATTAAATGCATTTCTCTCTAACTTGGTCTGTCTGACTCAATTTATGCTGACCAAAAAAGTGTTGGGTGTGGAAAAAGAACCATAATGGTAATGAAAGCCACTTTTGTTGGAAGGTAAAATTGACTTAAACATAATTTTAACCTTTTACAATTTACTTAACTTACTCAGAGGACAAAATATAAATCCTCAGCTGGTGCATGAAGCCCTGATGAAATGAAGGGGATTGTCACGGTCTTTCTTGTGTGGGAAGTGACAGAATAATAAAATGAGGGTGAGACTAAAAGAGACTGGTTCACCAGGTGCTTTTAAATCACACGTGCATGCTTGTACGTGTAAATGGGATCTATCTGCTGTACTTGTCTGTCGTTCGATCATATACACCTATCTACTTCATCGGTCTTTATTTACAATGACTTACTGTATGTACAAGATTGTACAGAGAAAATCCATAGTTCGTTAACATGACTAAATGTTCCTGTCTGACCTTTTGGAGAGAAATATACAATCAAAGTATACCTTTAGTATGTTTAAGGCATTGACTCATTATTAATTTAGTGACTTCTGACTCTTTAGGTGGAGCTGATCCTGGTGAAGGAGCAGAATGGGGTTCAGTTCACCTCAACCACCTTAGTGGCTCCAACTCCTTCTCAGACCAACCGCAGTGGGGAGGAGGAGAGGGAGACCTGGGGGAAGAAAATCGACTTCCTCCTGTCTGTGATCGGATTCGCCGTAGACCTCGCCAATGTCTGGAGATTCCCCTACCTCTGCTATAAGAATGGAGGAGGTGAGATGGATTAAAAGACTGAGGGGGGTGGAAGCTGATGTTGGCCCATGTGTAAAGGGTCCCTATGGATACAGAAGGGATTAAGGAAGGGAAAGCAGGGTATAGGGTGTGTTTCATATGAGAGAATAAAATCATCCTCCTCTCCTAAGCGAGTAGGGAAGGAAGGACTTGAAGGGCTGATGGTGGAGATTTTTGTGTGGTCGTGTTGAAAGGAAAGATGGGGAGAACAGAAAGAAATATATGAAAAAATAATTTATTCACACACACTTACATACTGTTTTCACCTGCATGCACTATACTCGCATGTATGTGCATATGTATTTGCACATGAATGCAGATGTGTATGTGATATCGTGGGTGTGTTTCAGCTCCTTGTGCTCGCTGGTTGTTGTTTGAGATTGTTTTTTTCCCAACCCTGTACAGAGATCAAAATAAGGGAAAAATCACAGCTGCTCTGAACAGATTAGCTCTAACAATCACTGCCACTAATTACAGCTGTTTAACATAGAGCTCTGTTTACGTTTAAGAGCTATAGACGATATTGAGGCCATGGTCAAGGTTGACTACATGTTGCCAAATCCTGTCATACTTGTATTCAGGGGAAATATTAATGAGTTTCATTTGTGACAATTAACCCATTTTTTTTAATGATCTGATTTTATGGCTGAGAGTAGAGAGGAGACAGAAAATTAGGGGAAAGAGGAACGACATGCAACGAAGGTACCTGGCCAGATGCAAACCAGGGACATTGTTGTTCATTGTCGGTGCTTTAACTGCTAATCCACCAAGGTGCCCCGAGCCAAACTATTTTTAAGAGTGTTGATAATCACCATATTTCCTACTCTGTGACTGTATGTAATCCAACTATTTATGGTAGATTATAAGATCTCCTTTCATCATCTCAAAAAACTACACAAAACAACATTTCACAGAGGCTGTTTAACATTGAGTAAGTCACAGCTGACACCCCTCTCCTTGGAGTTTCTCCTCAGTGGGCTCTTGGCATCAACTATGACATGTAATGATTTGCATCTGGTGTCAAATAAGAGAAAGAAACCAAAGAAAATTAATAATTGGGTGAGGCCTTCATGGACAATGAGTGTCGGTCTTTTCTCAGTCACCTGTGTTTTGTAGTTTAGGTTAGCATAATTATGCTAGAAAATTGAATTAAGTTCCTAGCATGTAATCGCAAATTTAACTAATTAGCTAACATATATCACTAAGGTGCTATTCAATTACTAAACGGTCAATTATTTTCACCTGATATGCATGTTTAAAGCATTTTGGAATGTGACATTTCATCTGGAGATGAAGTTTTACCTGTCATTGTGTGTGCAGGTGCATTCCTGGTGCCATACCTGTTCTTCATGGTGATAGCAGGCATGCCTCTCTTCTACATGGAGCTGGCTCTGGGACAGTACAACAGAGAGGGGGCAGCAGGGGTCTGGAAGATCTGTCCCCTATTTAAAGGTAGGAAGTGACGCGTCATAGGACACAAATTCGGATACAGACAGACACATGCTCATACTGGAGGATGTACACATGCAAATGACCCTTTCTTGACACCCTCATGTCTTCACAAAAACGCTTGCACGTGTATATTAGATCTTTCTATCATGGCGTGAGTTCATTTGTCCATCTGCCTGCATGCCTGTCTGTCTGATCATATACTTCATTTAAAAAGGTCAGATTATGCACAACCCTGCATGTCATAAACAACCCACAGCATTAGCAGATTGCTACAAGTGAAACACATTTCATCAACACCCAAATATTTCTATCAGTCGGATCCTTCCTTCTAAATGCATCAATCAGAATCCATTTCTATGCCGGCAACGTTGACTTTCAGCTGAATTCGTCACTTGTGCAAGCAGTGCCAGATGAATTTCAGATGGCTCACCATACCTAAAAATCGCGATTTCTCACTTACTAATAAGCTAGTCAGGATCTTGACTGTGGACAGTCACACTATTCTTGGCAATTAATCTAAATCTCAGACAATTCACATACAGATTCAGAACATGCGAGATGAAGTTAAGTACTTTAAGCTTCACTCGGTAAATCAATATACATGCTGGCTGTAACCTGCTTCCTCTTTCCATCACTGAACACAGGCACTACTGTTTTCCATCATGTTATGCTTGGTTGTCAATGTAAGTGCTGTTTCTAGTGTATTTTACTGTAAATGTGAGGTTTTATGGTCAGATGTTTTCTGAACCTGATTTTAAATCGTAGGTATTTCTTTATAACATTGAATATATATGACAAAATAAGAAACAATCAAAATAAAATTCAGGAGAAAAAATATTCTTAGAGTTTAATGCAAAAACACATCTGCTTGTTTGATTTAGGGATGACGATGTTGGTCAGCGACATCTGTACTTTGTATTTTGTGCTAACATTAAGATAATGTTAATATGTAGCAGCTGGATGGTGCAGTAGCAGTATTTTAGCCCTGTGAACAGCAGGTCAGAAGTTCAAACCTCTGGTAAGTCATTTTAGATACAAGTGTCTGCTAAATGAGTACATTTAATGTTAACAAGTGAAACTAAGGTGGTGAACTTGGTGAACATTATACCTGCTTAACATCAGCACATTAGCTTTATCAGCTTTGTGCCTAAGTACAGTCTCACAGAGTAGCTAGCATGCCTGTAGACTCTAGAGTCTACAGAGTCTAGACTCTAATTGGTGCAAGGAAATTTCACTTGAGTCTCGCCCACTTCAAATCAGTGACAAAAGCAAACAAAAATCTCAAGTGAAATAACCGAAACTGCTCTAGGATGTCATCACTCATATTGCGAAGCTGATTGAGAAAATATGTCTTATTAAGCTTTTTTTTCCTCCTTTTCTTTATTGTGTTATTTATCTTTTTTGTGCATGTAATAGGTTTGCAAAGTGAAAAAGCCCAAAGTCCACCCCAAAGGGAGTTCCCATCTCCTACAGAAAACACTGCTCTGAACTGCCTGAAAACAGCTCTGTTGAATTCTAGCCTTTACTTCCCTAACCTATTTGCGTAACTTTGTAACACGTCATAATGCTCGCCTAGTGGCTAGTGAGGCACACCTTCAAAAACACTGATGGAGTAACACACTGAGCTGCAGTACACACGGTGACAATATTTCTGCCCGCTGCCTCCCCTCAACCCTAGCCTACCTACCAAACGTGACAGTGAATGAAAAAAAGTTGTTGCTGTGACGTAGAGACAGTGCACAGTTAAAACGTTACGTATGAAAGATCAATTTGTTACAAATTATTAACTTACCAATCTGAAACTCTTGCTCGAGTCTAGGTTGCGAAGCTAGTTCGCGAACATGTACAGCCGAACCAATGCTGGTTACCAGCTTGTCAGGACCCGCCCTACTCTTCTTCTGATTGGCTATGTGCAACTCCCAACAAAGATCTAATAGAAGTGGGATGCTTCGCTCTGCAACTAAAACGGAGTGTAACACACAAGATTAAAAGATGTGCTGCAGCAATGTGCAGTATGACAAAAATATGGTGTTTTTTGAAAATCAAACAATATTAACCTATTCTGGTAGTACTCCTAAATAAAATGATGAACCTGAAAATGAGCATAAAATTACTACTTTAATATCTGCATGTCTTTCTGTCTGCTTGTCTGCCTACATGCCTGTCTGTCCACATGCCAGTCTCTTTTGTCTGCTTGTCTCTGCCGTTGAGCAGCGACAGCCATTGTTTATCCTCCCCAGAGCATCAGGTTTTGTTGGCACTCAGATGGAAAGCAAATGAAAATTGGGCTTTTAGACTCTCGTCCTGATTGTCCAAATCCTTCTGTCAAGTAGTGGCAGGGAACACTGGCTGACACTCTGTGGGGATACTTTTCAACACATCGATAAGCAAAGCACAGTTTAGGAGAATGTCATCCAAACATACAATAATGGAGAAACAAACATTAAGACCGATTCACATTTCTGAGCAAAGTCATTGGTTGAAAATATAATATACATTGCTTGGTGCAACTTTTTATGCTTTTACAAGCTGTGACTTGTGTGTTTTTATCCATCTCCATCTTTGTACTATATAAAGAATAAACAAAAATACACACTCAAATACCTTTGCCAACAGCAGACTATCTATCGCTTCCCAGTATAGTGCCGTACCACTGTCGTTTGTTACATCATGTCCTTGTTCTGGGTCTGGAGGTGGCCCACAGTGCAAACGTGTGCCTTCATGTGTTTCTGTGCGTGTGCCTCTGAGCGTGTGCCTCCTGTGTGTGAACATGTGCCGTCTGTCAGGGAGCACACTGAGTAGGTTGACGTTCTAATCACACGCTTCACTCTCTCTTTCTCTGTCTCTCAGCGGGGGATAACAGTAATTATTCAAATACACACATACACATGCCCATATTGACAGTAATTATTCTGATCAACAAGCTGGTTTCCTCTCAAGATCAATGCATGTAAAGAAAATGACTGAGAACGGGAGACGGAGAGAGATAACATGGCTGCATGTGGCGCTAATAAGAGGCATCGCTCCCTGGACAAATATCACATCCACATTACAAAAGAATCAATAAGGCACACTTGTGGCCATGCCTCTTGGCAAAGGTTAACTATTAAATTCAGCCTTAGAAGAGTGAACACTGTTTCAGATTTATAGAAAGGGTAGATGTGTTGATAATTAAGGCGTGAAGAGGCAATCTTTAGAAGTTGATGAATCTTAAGGGTTTTAAAATGAAAGAGTGAAAAATAAAATGTCTGCTAAAGAAATAATGTCTGATATTCCTTGTTTTTGTGAAATATTGGATAAAAGTACTCCATTGGACCTCAAACAGTTATTTATGTCCCTCTGAAATGTTGTGGAGTAAAAGTAAAAAGTAAAAAAGTGCAAGAAACTCAAAATTGGACAGAAGTACAATACTTGAGTACATGAACAGTTACTATCCAGCACTGTACATTTCTGCAGCCATGGAAGTCAGCCATGAAAACCTGTACTCTGCAATTCAAACAGGGCTAAGGACCAATGGGATGTTAGATTCCACTGAGGTGCCCCATTTCAATATCTCAGGTGTTAATTAGGTGTCAGCATAGCCAATTCCAGCTCCTCTTTCGATCTCGTTCTCTCTGTGTCTTTAATGCCTAAATATGTGAATTATTTGTGTTCCCCTAACAGGTGTAGGCTTTACAGTAATCCTCATTTCCCTCTACGTTGGTTTCTACTATAATGTCATCATCTCCTGGGCGCTGTTCTACCTCTTCTCCTCGTTCACCAGCGAGCTACCTTGGGTCCACTGCAACAACACCTGGAACAGTCCTAACTGCTCCGACTGGGCTGACAACAGCTCAGTCAATGATATTTACAAGTCCACCCCTGCTCAGGAGTACTTTGAGTAAGTTGGCCTGAATTAAGGCTCTAACATTTATTTATTAATATTTGTTTGATATTGTTAGTTCTATAAAAAAAAATGCTATTACTGGTACTTCGATTTATAGTCAGTTTGGAGCCCCGCCATGCTTTTGAAAAATCTGATTTTTTTTATTTTTTATCTAACAGTATTTAAATGGTATTATAAAGAGATATGTATTAGTGTCTGCCTCTGGGAAAGTGGGAAAAAGTTCTATTCCCAAATCAGGTGAAGTGAATCTAGAGTTACTTAGTGAAACTGTTATTATAAATGGGAATTGGAATGGAATCTACTGTGTTCCCACTTTTCCAGCGTGGGAAAAAAAACTAATAAATGCCTTAGGACAGACCTTTCTCTTATGTATTTGGTGTAGTCTAAAGTGTCAAAGAGTAATGTTAAGCTATCTTGGCTTACTTGATGAGTGTATATGTGATCAAATAACATAACTGTGATTTTATAAGCAACAAGAAACTGAGAGAATTGTTTATTGGGTGTCTTTTTCCAAGCTATGTCCGAGTGGAGGCCCACAGTCCCAGACCTTAAAAACCTCTGATCTATTTTTTGTTGAGGTCTTTCAACCTACAGCAAATAATGAAACTGTAAGGTCACTGCAGTTGAACTAGTCCAACTACTAAAATGTGTGTCTTGCATTGGCTGAGCTTGAGCTTGAGCCATGTGAAGGTGCAGAGGTGGCTTGACACTCTTCAGACTAACTGATCTTACTGTAATTACTATCAGCTGTTTGTCTAGATTTAGTAATGCCTTGGAATAGCTAATTATGAATAATTAAAGTATAAAATATTCAAAAATGAACATCAGGTATATTTTCCTTAAAATGTATCCAGAGTTTGGCTGCATTTGGCTGATGTAGCCTCCCTCCCCTGTGAAGCCAACCAGGTGTCTCCTGTTCCAAGAGTTCTGTTGTGACCGTTGAGGCATTTCATCCATGCCAGTTGAAATGGCAGTGTGCTATTTACACAGAACCACCTGCAGACAATTTAACCACATCCGTTGAACATTGGCTGATCTCATCTCAGGCTGTCTCTGAAATGATTTCAATCAAGGTGTCAGCAAGGTTCAGTGATTATATAGTTTTTCAGGTAATGCCTGAAATTCAACCTTACAGAATGCAACATAAAAGTATACTTACACCAAATTATACCAAATCTGCCCCATTGGCATTGCAGTTTTCCCATGTTGGCAGGCTGTCACGATCTTTGAGACGTTTAAGCGTTTTAAGGAAACAATTTGCAGCATTTGTCATTTGCTAGAACCTAGCCATATGAACCCTGATTGCAGCCAGGATTACTACATCTAGAATCAGCTCATTCAGGGTAATTCAGGGTAACCTAGAAATATATCTTGGTGAGGTGAGCTCAAAGTGAAGCTCTAAAGGACTCTAAGGTGTAGTGCTGTTTCTGTCTTGGTCATGTCAAGGGCTCAGAACATGTCAACAACAATTTCAGGATGTTGTGTATACTTTCAAGTCACTCAACAAAACTTTATAAAACCAGGTAATACACTTTATACATAGTAAAAGACAGAAGTGGCAAGAATAAGCCAAGAAATACATTTATAATATACATGATATGAAACAGAGAATACATTAATAATATGCATATTATTAAGCACCAGGAAAAGGTAATCTCGGTGAGAGCATTTCAGAGGTTACTGCCAGCCACACTGAAGGTCCTGTCACCCATAGAGTGGAGCCCGGAGGTGCGGAGTGGAGAGTACATGGGTTTCAGAGTACATGAGTAGGTACACCAAGTAGAAGGGCAGTAATCTAATTGGGATCTGATAAAGGCAAGAATGTAAGTCTCTTAATCAAAGTGGGAAAGAGAAGAGCATAGCCTGGAGATGTTCTTCAAATGGAAATGGCAGTCTTGATGATGTTTTTGATATGTGTGTCAAAACAAAGGGTGGAGTCAAAAGTTACACCAAGATTTTTGCCTTCAGCAACAGTGGATTTAAAGAAAAACAGGGATGGACAGATTTAGATGGAGTACTTTGCCAAGTGTAGCTGGTGAAGCAATGAGAATAGCCTCAGGTGATGTAGTAGTAGAATGTCCTATGGCTTAGAGTGTACGTAGATTTTTGTGTTGTCTGCATAGCAGTGAAAGTTGAGTCCAAGAGGGAAAATGTAGTAAAAGTAATGAATAGTAATGGTCCAAGAACTGAGCCCTGGGGGACACCATGGGAAGCAGGGATGTGGGAGATCTAAAGCAGCTAATGGACACAAGCTGCTGTCTAGCTTTGAGATAGGACAGTTAGCTCAAGGAGTTGGGCAAGATATAGGGGTTTGGTAATTGGTCTGTAGTTCTTGTATTCTTCTAGGTCAGCGACAGTTGTTTTTTTTTAGGACTGGGGTATTAGCAGACATTTTTAGACTGGAAGGAACAGAGCCAGATAAAATAGATGCATTAATGATTTGTGTAAGCAGGGGGCAGAGCACAGGCAGACATGATTTAATCAAAGGAATGGGCATGGGGTTATGAATTCATGTGGTAGTCAGAAAGAAATTCAGTTATAAACAGACTGAAATAAATCTAGATGTTAATGCTTTCAAGTTACTTAGTGAAACTGTTATTATAAATGGGAGTTGTACTGTTTTCCCACTTGCCCAGAGTCAAAAAGTAATTAATTCCTTAGAACAGACCTTTTTTTATGTGTTTGGTGTGTTACCAGCGCCAGACCTAGGGGAGATCTGGACTGGCAGCAAAGGTTATACGGGCTAGGAAGCACTGTGTAGCCACTTTGGATTAATAGAGAGATGACCAAAGTTAGTGTCTTGCTCAAGCCAGAGCTTGTTTATTTCTGACTACAATCACATACAGTCCCAGTCACATTATCTTTAAATCTCAGCTTAAAGTGCATGTTAAACTAATACTAAAAATTTCACAAATAAACAACAAATGACATAACCAAACAGACAATATACAATATATAAAGCATTCTACCTTATGGAAAATAAGTACACATGACATCAAAATAATTGAACAGATATTCTACATAATCGAAATTGACTTAACATAATAATATGTAACAAAATAATATAACTCAAAACACACATTCACTTTACTCTGATTCCTCTGATACAGTCATTCACATATTAACACATTACATTACATTTCTGCTAACATTAATTGTAACACTAGTTACAGTCACTACCCAGAGAGTTTGATAGGAGAAGTATGATTTATTCTCTTTCCAAAACCTAAAATAAATCCAGAAAAATATCAGCTGTGGATCGTTCCTAATGTACTGTTAGTTAGCTAACGCTAGCTAACTTCCTACTCAATGGAACGAAATAAAGCCCTACTCATCTGCTTTTTAATGATTGTAATAATGAATAGAGGCCTACCCAGCTTTACAGGAACAGTGTTGATTGTTCATATCGTTGTCTTTTGTCTGTAAGTTAGCGATCGGTAGGCTTTAGCTTCTATTTTTCATTTTTTTCACGTCTGTTTGAGTCAGTTTGACAGCCTGAATATAACCTTCAAATGTATAATGCAACTGCAAAACTGTCTGCTTCTTTCTGAGATTGCTAAAGAACTAATTTGACAATATTTCTCCGGGGATTGCAGTAATAGACAGTGTGTCGGACTTAGCAACAGTAACTAAGGGGGGCGGGGCGGGGCTTAGCGAAGGATCAATTACGTTGACACGTCGGCAGTGTGGACGCAAAAGATGCAAAAAACGCCGTTTGCAGACACTGTTCTGTTGAATTGTCTCCAAGCACATCCACACCATCTGTGGCTGACTTCTTCAAACAATCTGTCCCGTCACTCGTTTCTGAGAACACGATTAAGCTAGCCTACATTTGGAGTGCACACGTATTTAAGCCTTTATGGTAACTGAAATGGACCAGTGCGAGCTGACAGGCAGGTTAGCGACTTTATCCTGTCATTTTCTGTCTTTACAAAGACAAGTTGCAGTATGAGAGTCCTACCTGAAGAGAGGCTATAAAGTCTTCATGTTGCGTGATACGAGAACCACATACAACATTATCAAATTGGGTCGGACTTGATGAATTTAGCGCGACGATACGGATGTGACAACGTCCGGTTTTCAAAATAAGGTGTCTATACAGTATGGAAATAAGATTAATTGGATTATATTCACAGAAATTATAAAACATATTACGTGTGTACATTAAAAGTAAATAGACACATGTAATTTACTTTACCAGAGTTTACTTTACCTCTTGGGCCTCGGACCCACCCACCATAGTCACTCCAAATCCTGTGGGGAACACCGAGTAAAAAGTACATTTTTACTATTTAATTTATGCAGTGGTTATATGTGAATGTACTTGTTCGGTGATTGGTATTCTTTATTCAGCAAATGTTTTTATTATGTTCGGTTTCAGCCAAAAATGTTCATTTTGGTGCATCCCTAAATGGAGCTGTGTTATTTGAGTTGGGCAAGATGATTTAGTGTATCTGAGAGGAGCACATTATTCATAGAGGACAGGTCATTGGATGTTGAGTTAGTGTAACCATAAATGAGCTCAGTCTGCAGCACATCCATTAGAAAAGGTATATTAATGCTCTGGAGTTTCCTGTATGTGATGAGTGGGATGAAGTCAATGTGAGGGAGCAGGGATTCTAGCATTGAAAAAGCCATATGATCTGTTACTGTAAAATCCATGCCATGTAGGTTTGATGGAGAAATACCAGAGGAGCAGACAAGGTATATGACCTTCAGCATGTAGATGTGTATGTGTGTAGCATAATTTGAGTGAGTGGAATAGGTTAATAAACTCAGCAGCATTGTTTAGAATCCACATGGATTTTCAAGTCACCAACTACCAAAATGGAAGGGGGTTTCCGGCTCCAGCGGAACTTGGTTTTGGTCTTTTTCCTACCCATCTGGATTTAGTAACTATTGGATTTTATGAGCTAAAAGAACAGGGAGAGTGGTACCTGAGTTTGAGGCAGGGTGATATAAGGCAGGAAAGTGAGGGTGTCATGCTGTATAGGCCCTGCAGGAGTGTAGAGTCAATTCAGTGTTCGTGGATAAAATACACGATCCTGAGTTGGTTTGGGTGATGACGCATGGGTGGTGATGGCGCAGTAGATAAGACACATGCCTTTGGTGTTAGAGCCTCGGGTTCAATTTCCCACTGTGACTCGCTTTGGATAAAAGTGTCAGCTAAATAAATAAATATAAATGACAATCCTGTTTAAAAAGTTCCAGTCGGTTGAGGAATGAGGTTAAGTTTTCAGGGGAATTCTCCGTTCCTACAATATCCCTTTGGCCAAATGTGAAGCTAACATCAACGGTAACCCTAACTTCTCATCACCAAAACATGGGTGATTCCCTTTGTTTTTAACAAGAAACAAATGTCTTGCTCAAGGACAATTCTCGCTCAGAAATCTTGTGAGAGATGAGTTGTTGCAGGAAAACGAAGGAGGAAACATGAGTCAGAGTTGAAGAGCGGAGTTTGTTGTGTTGGAGTAACATTGGAAATAAAGTCTTGCTAGCAGTTCCTCTTTGTACACAGCAAACTGCTCTCCCGGGTTTCTTGGAACAACCTGCCTCTCACAAGACGTCAGAGCACGAATTTTCCTTGAGCGAGACTTCTGCTTCTTGTTAAAAACAAAAGGTGTCACTGGGTGTTGTTAGTAAGGATCCTTTCCATGATGTTGTTAGACATCTCGCATAACTGTCTGAGCCCGTCAGTGGCAAAAATAAGCATTTTTTGTAGACGTAATTTTGACGTAATTTTGACACAATTGCCCCGAAGGAATATGTTGCAGCCACTGCAGCTGGTTTGTGGCTGCCGGCTAAAGTCACGGATTCCAAAACTTTTTGCACTTACTAGTCACTTCAACACCAAAATATGTGAAAATAGGGCCCAGGTTTAAAAATACCAAAATTATTATTTAAACCCTATCCTGAAGGATTTGGTCTCAACAACAGGTTTTTGGTAGAAGGTCCTTAGGTTAGTTCTCTGGGAGTTGTTACAGTCCTCACAATATTTCTGAACTGCTCCTTTCACTTCAGGCCTCTGCCAAGTGAGTTCTTTGTAGGTGAAAATGTGCTAAATACATACTCTAAAAATGGTGACTCAGGAATGGCCATGGTTCTTATCAGAATATTCTCTTTCCCTAGACGAGGAGTGCTACACATCCAGGACAGTAGTGGTATTAATGATCTGGGCCGTCCACGCTGGCAGTTGACTTCCTGTCTAGGTGTAGTGATTGTTCTGCTCTACTTCAGCCTCTGGAAGGGAGTCAAGACCTCTGGCAAGGTAAGAAATTACACAGTAGCTGTGTTTCTTAATGTGAACACCACAAATCTTACCTATGAATCTTTAAGTGATTCATAACTCCATAAGTCCAGTTTAAATCCATCCAATGACTTCGTGTGAGTGTGGCTTCTTTCTCTGTGTAAATGTGGGGGTATTCTGCATGTGTGTGTGTGTGTGTGTGTGTGTGTGTGTGTGTGTGTGGTGTGTGTGTGTGTGTGTGTGTGTGTGTGTGTGTGTGTGTGTGTGTGTGGTGTGTGTGTGTGTGTGTGTGTGTTTGTGTGTGTACCTTGTGCGACCCTTTCAGGTTGTGTGGATCACAGCCACAATGCCCTACGTGGTCCTGACTGTGCTGCTGCTCCGCGGAGTCACTCTGCCCGGAGCCATTGATGGCATTAAGGCCTACCTCTCTGTGGACTTTCTGAGACTCTGTGACGCCAAGGTGAGTGTCAGCGGGAGAGAGGGGGAACAGGAGTGAGGTGAGAGTGGTGGGGGTATAGAAGATAAGAGGAAAAAGAGGCACAGGGAGATGACTTTATCTAACATTAGCACTTAAAACAATGTGTAAAGAATCCTGAAAACTGAAAAAGTGGGGTTTCTCGAAAATGACTTGGCTAGTATCTTGTAACATTGTAACATGTAACTGTAACATTTTTCATTGACTTTATCATGCTAATGTGCTAAGCTAGACTTACAATAAGGCAAGTGTTAACATTAGTTCATGTGGAAATAGCTAACAGTGACAAATTCACAGTAATAGAGGGTAAATTTTACAGTACTCAATACTTTCACAACTCTTAAGTTGTATTATTAACTCAAAGCTGTTACAATGTGAGATAACTTATGCATTTAAGCAGATAAAAATGTTGGCAAGGCTTTGCTAGCAACAAGGAGTTACTGTTAAAGAGAAATCTATGCTCCCCAGCTCAATATCCTCATAATATGACATTTACATTTATTCATTTAGCTGACGCTTTTATCCAAAGCGACTTACAATTGCTATATATATTAGAGGTCGCACGCCTCTGGAGCAACTAGGGGTTAAGTGTCTTGCTCAGGGACACACTGATGGACATGTCACAGTGGGGAATTGAACCCGGGTTTCACACCAAAGTGTCTTATCCACTGCCCCATCACCACCTTTCAAAGGGCTTATGTTTTCAGCAAAGTTTTCCCTACGTCAAATGTTGAATGTATGTTTCCCTTGTTCAACATGTTGAAATCACCCAACTACAGCTATAGCTACAGCTACAGCTATATAACAGCCTGTTGTTGTTAAACTTCTTGAACCCTACACCCTCAAATTTGCAGGCAAGGCAGTTTTCTTGAGGTTAGACACTAAAATCACCACAGTGGCTACACTGATTTTTACCAATCTAACTGCATTTGACACGCCGAACTTCCTTCATTCTTTTGCAATGTGCACTGTGAAGACAGCCTTTACCAATCTCTTACCATGTTTATATCAAGTGACACACATGCTGGGAATGTAAAACCCTGGGAACAAAGAGATGAGCCCAAGAGAAAGAAAGGCAATATTAACATTTTTCAATGTTGATTGTGCAGTAATTGTTACTATTACATGCTCAAGAAAACGCAAACCGCAGCATCAGCGAGCCCAGAACAAAAACAATAGAATTGGAATGGAGAACTGTAAGAAGATAGCAGAGAGCTAAACTAAATTTAAAGGACAGAAAAGAAGGCAGGACAGGTGTGACAAAGAGTATGCTCGGCAAAAATGTATGCTATGCAGAGTATGCTATGCAAAATGAATCATCTTTCATTTTGATATGCAGGGTTGAATGACAATGTGGAACTATTCCAACTCAATTTATTTGGGTTAATGCATAACATCTAAGATATATTAATTGTCAGTCTCCTCTCATTGTATGATGTAGACCAATTTGGGAAAAGAATTTAAAACAGTGTTGGTTTAAAATTGTAAGTACTGTTTGTGTAACCTGTGTTTAATATTTTCCTTAACCAGCTATCACATCTTATAACAACATATTATTTATCTTAACATCAGGCACTAAGAGCTCAATGAGTAAGCATGCAGGACTAAAGCACTCAGTTATGGAGTATGAGAGAGAAAGCAAGAAGGAGAGAGAGAGAGAGATGCATGGCAGCAATTGGAGAATTAGATTAGATAGATGCATGGAGCAGTAATTTGCAAAATTACCCCCCGTATTCACAAGCGTCTTTCATCTACTGCTGTTGAATGAGTTTCCTGCAATTATCCCTAATAATGGCTTTTTTCCTCTCCTGTGCCTTTTGTTTGCCGCTTCACACAAGTGTGCTTGTTCTGTTGCTCCCCAGGTCTGGATTGAGGCTGCGACACAGATCTGCTTCTCTCTGGGAGTGGGGTTTGGTGTGCTAATTGCCTTTTCCAGCTACAACAAATTTAGCAACAACTGTTACAGGTAAAGGCACACAGGGAGATGCAGGAGGGGGTTCACAGAAACAGGCAGAGGACGGGGAGTTGCTTCTACATACACAAACACGTGCACACAACATAAGCAGATGAATTACAATAACCTTTGAAGCTCCTTGAAACCCGCCATGTCTTTGACACCATGCTGTGCAACAGACAGCCATGACACCCATCAAAACTGTCGCAGTCTTTGAAAATTATCAGCATCCCGCAGGAGGCTTTTATCTTTTTTTTTTTGCCTTTTTAAAAAATGTTTCTGATAACTGACATATGACACTGTCCACCATGAGGATTTCTCCTTCAGCATAACACCAAATCACTGAAGCTATATTCTGACTGAAGTGAGGGCTTGTGATTTTTTTGTAGGACAATGAGACTGTATGTGTAAATTTAGACACACCAAGGTTCTGTCTGTTTTCAACTCCGGCCAACTAATTTATATATTCATTTTCTCCACACATTTTTGCAATTGAGGGTGGTCAAACTCTACTCCAAGAGAAAGCAAGAGGATGACTTCCCTGTCTTTCACATTCAGGCAAAACATTGACTGCCTGACTAATCCACAAAATGTATAAGGGATCTCTAAATTATTCTGCAACCAAGACTCATGACAGCAATCTAGCATATTTTTTGTGTAAATTCAATTGCAATTTTTTTTTTTTACATTCTCATTTTTAACTGTTGTTTTTTTTTTTTTATTGATCCAGAGACGCCATCATCACCAGCTCCATCAACTCTTTAACCAGTTTCTTCTCCGGCTTTGTGGTCTTCTCCTTCCTTGGGTACATGTCCCACAAGCACAACGTTGCCCTGGATAAAGTTGCCAGAGATGGTATGGTTTTATTTGACTGTGTTTGAAATGTGGTGTTTTTATGGTGTAGATTAGCGCTGCTTTTGACACCATTGATCACAACATCATGTTAGACAGACTGAGGCACTGGGTGGGGATCTCTGGTACTGCCCTAAAATGGTTTTCATCCTACCTGTCAAATAGGAAGTTTTGCGTGTCTGTAAACAACTATGTCTCTTCGTTCTGTCCAGTTAAATATGGTGTGCCTCAAGGGTCGGTCTTAGGACCCATTTTGTTTTCAGATGGCAAAACAAATACTGCCATCTGCTGGTTCCCTATTAAATCACATTAAGCCTGTTGCAAAGAACCTTGGTGTCTGGTTTGATAGTAATTTAAATTTCGAGCAGCACACCACAAAGCTTGTTCCATCATGTTTTAGATGTTGTTTATGTCTTAGAAATATAGCAAAAATTTGTTCTATGTTAACTTATAAGGACACCGAGACCATTTTACATGCCTTCATCTCATCACACCTGGATTATTGCAACAGCCTTTTCACTTGTTTAACCCAAAAATCTACTGATCGACTCCAGACTGTCCAGAACTCAGCTGCCAGGCTTTTAACCAGAACAAAGAAATATGACCACATCGCCCCTATTTTAGCTTCATTCCACTGACTTTAAAATTCTATTGATTACTTTTAAAGCTCTTCGTGGCCTCTCGCCTTGTTATATTTCTGACCTTTTAGTCCCATAATGCACCAGCACGTACCTTGAGATCCTCGGGCAGAGGTCTGCTATCTGTTCCAGAGTCTCAACTGAAAACTAAAGGGGACAGAGCGTTTGCTGTCAGGGCCCCGAGGCTCTGGAACAGCCTGCCAGAGGAAATCAGGTCGGCTGAGTCAGTGAACTCTTTTAAGTGCCTTCTTAAAACATACTTTTATAGGAGAGCCTTTCCCGATCTTATTTGACTTTATTTTATCCCTTTTATTTTATTCTATTTTACTTATTTTATATTTATCTTAAACGTGTATTTTGGTCTTTTCAATGTTTTTCTTTGCTTGTATTGTTGTCTTTGGGTATTGTATTGTTGTCTTTGCACTTGTTAAAGCACTTTGTAACTTGTTTTTGAAAAGTGCTCTACAAATAAAGATTATTATTATTATTATTATAGATATTTGGTGGGAAACACTAGTGTTAGGTTAAGGCGTTTCCTCAAAACAAAACATATTATTTTGCCAGCTTACCTGCCTTTCTATAAATTTGAAGTACATTTGGAGAAATTTGGAGCTCAGTTAGTTGAAGTTCAACAGAACATACTGCACTTTATACATTTATTAATGCGCCTATACAGTTGTTAATTTCAGGTAGCCCACAGCAGGCTAGTATAGGCATTATTCCATGATGGTTGCTATTAAGTGACACTGCAAACAGCTCAATAGATGCGGAATAATGTGCATTCTTTAATTATTCCAATAATCAAATACATTTAAGATGAGCTACCTTTAGTTGCCAGGACTGTAATCAATGAAGAAAACCCACATGAACACGATGACTGGATTCAAATGCCACAGATGTCGTTAGTGGAACTGGGTAGCTTTGTTGCTTACTAGTCAATTAAAGTTAGACATAATGTATAAACTCCTCTCCAAACATACCGTATTAGTACGTTATATCCTCTTTTTAACCATGCATTTAGCTTTTTAGCTATTTAATTTTGAGGCTGCTTTTACATCTGCTTCCATGTCAAACGCTCTAAATGCTCATTTGTGTTTGTGCTGTCTTCTTTAGGTGCTGGTTTGGTGTTTGTCATTTACCCAGAAGCCATTGCAACATTACCTGGGTCATCAGTGTGGGCAGTTATCTTCTTCATCATGCTGTTAACACTGGGCATTGACAGTGCTGTGAGTATGCCTTTTTTCTATATTTGTGACATAAATTATGTCAGAGATGTTGTGATGTTGAAAGAAATTAAAAATTGTGGAACAAATAATTTTCATTTAGCAAATTATATGTTTTGGAGCTTCAGTGCAGCAATTATGCAATAGAAAGTTGGACATCTACAGTGATGTAGCAGCTCACTTATTGCTGACTGTTTTCATTGTAACTCTTGTGTCTTCTGTTGTAGATGGGCGGGATGGAATCAGTGATCACTGGGCTGATTGATGAGTTTAAATTCCTCCACAAGCACAGAGAGCTGTTCACCCTCTTCATCGTCGTTTCCACCTTTCTCATATCCCTTTTCTGTGTTACAAAATGTAAGTATCATGCTGGGCAGTCTGTTCTTGCATGTCAGCCTTGTTTATGTGATTGTTAATATCCATCTTTGCTTTGTGGTTAGACTTCAGCATTTTCCTACATACAGTGGGTACGGAAAGTATTCAGACCCCTTTAAATTTTTCACTCTTTGTTTCATTGCAGCCATTTTCCAAAAATCCAAAAAGTTCATTTTATTTCTCAGTAATGTACACTCAGCACCCCATCTTGACAGAAAAAAACAGAAATGTAGAAATGTTTGCAAATTATTAAAAAAGAAAAACTGAAATATCACATGGTCATAAGTATTCAGACCCTTTGCCGTGACACTCATATTTAACTCAGGTGCTGTCTATTTCTTCTGATCATCCTTGAGATGGTTCTACACCTTCATTTGAGTCCAGCTGTGTTTGATTATACTGATTGGACTTGATTAGGAAAGCCACACACCTGTCTATATAAGACCTTACAGCTCACAGTGCATGTCAGAGCAAATGAGAATCATGAGGTCAAAGGAACTGCCTGAAGAGCTCAGAGACAGAATTGTGGCAAGGCACAGATCTGGCCAAGGTTACAAAAAAACCTTCTGCTGCACTTAAGGTTCCTAAGAGCACAGTGGCCTCCATAATCCTCAAATGGAAGACGTTTGGGACGACCAGAACCCTTCCTAGAGCTGGCCGTCCGGCCAAACTGAGCTATCGAGAAGAGCCTTGGTGAGAGAGGTAAAGAAGAACCCAAAGGTCACTGTGGCTGAGCTCCAGAGATGCAGTCGGGAGATGGGAGAAAGTTGTAGTAAGTCAACCATCACAGCAGCAATCCACCAGTCGGGGCTTTATGGCAGAGTGGCCCGACGGAAGCCTCTCCTCAGTGCAAGACACATGAAAGCCCGCATGGAGTTTGCTAAAAACACCTGAAGGACTCCAAGATGGTGATAAATAAGATCCTCTGGTCTGATGACACCAAGATAGAACTTTTTGGCCTTAATTCTAAGCGGTATGTGTGGAGAAAACCAGGCACTGCTCATCACCTGTCCAATGCAGTCTCAACAGTGAAGCATGGTGGTGGCAGCATCATGCTGTGGGGGTGTTTTTCAGCTGCAGGGACAGGACGACTGGTTGCAATCGAGGGAAAGATGAATGCGGCCAAGTACAGGGATATCCTGGACGAAAACCTTTTCCAGAGTGCTCTGGACCTCAGACTGGGCCGAAGGTTTACCTTCCAACAAGACAATGACCCTAAGCACACCGCTAAAATAACGAAGGAGTGGCTTCACAACAACTCCGTGGCTGTTCTTGAATGGCCCAGCCAGAGCCCTGACTTAAAGCCAATTGAGCATCTCTGGAGAGACCTGAAAATGGCTGTCCACCAACGTTTACCATCCAACCTGACAGAACTGGAGAGGATCTGCAAGGAGGAATGGCAGAGGATACCCAAATCCAGATGTGAAAAACTTGTTGCATCTTTCCCAAAACGACTCATGGCTGTATTAGATCAAAAGGGTCTTCTACTAAATACTGAGCAAAGGGTCTGAATACTTATGACCATGTGATATTTCAGTTTTTCTTTTTTAATACATTTGCAAAAATTTCTACATTTCTGTTTTTTTTTTCTGTCAAGATGGGGTGCTGAGTGTACATTACTGAGAAATAAAATGAACTTTTTTGATTTTTGGAAAATGGCTGCAATGAAACAAAGAGTGAAAAATTTAAAGGGGTCTGAATACTTTCCGTACCCACTGTACATTTTATGTAGTGAGTCTCTTATGAAGCGCATCTCAAAAGTTTTTTTTTCTGCTAGTTCTGATAGTAACCTGTATGATAAAACTTAATTTAATGACACATATATTATTTTAGCCTACGTCCATTACCATTTTTTTCTCTCCCTCTCCAGGGTGGGATGTATGTGTTCACTCTGCTAGACCACTTTGCAGCAGGAACATCGATTCTATTTGGAGTGCTTATTGAAGCCATCGGCATAGCATGGTTTTATGGTGAGAAAGAGGAAGTGAAAATCACGTTTTCATGGTCAGCAAAGCTGATGTTATATTAAGGGTTTGATGAGAAATCTTTTGGTATAGGCGTGCTGTGCCTCAATGCAACATAGTTTTATTAGACATTGTCAATAATGGTTTACGCCTCTTCAGTTTCTGTATTGTTAAGGTACAAGGATATACTGTAGTTGTGGTGCTCATAAGAGCTCAGTGAGGTTAAATGACCTGAGTTTTGCCTGCTGTCAGTGTTACCTCTGTGTTCATTCAGCAGTGTTGAGCCACCACATGAAGAAAATTGCAGCTAGGGGAACAGGCAATTCCCATTTGTCATGGACAGGAGTCAGCTGTCTAATCGCTAGGTTGTAGATTGTTGTGGGTGGCAAGTGGGGGGGGCTCAAAGTCAGTTTCTCTCCAGATGTCCACATTCTATTGACACTCGATTTTACACAGTTTTGACATCATCTCTGCAACAATATGTTTTTTTTAGATCTTGTTCTTCCAACACACCAAAACATCTATAAATGATTGTTTATCTCTGCACGTGATGAGAGTTTTCTGGAGTGAATGAGTGATCCAGTTCTTTTCCAGCACTTTATCAGCACATGGAAGAAATACTTTAGTTGTGTAAGAGTAAATAACTTCTTGATACTATATGTTGTTTGTTTCGGCCTCAAAATTCAACCCCATGAGCTGATTAGTGAGCCCTTATGGTTCTGTAAATAAGTACAGTGGAGTTAGCCATTTTGTGTTTTTCTCCTTTTCCTTTCCTTTCTTTGTTTTTTATTTTTATTTTTATTTTTATTTTTATTTTTATTAATAACTAAAGACCATGTGCTTTATGATGGATATTAACCTTTGGGTGCATTTTTGCCTATGCTGAAAACGAGGGAAATTCTTCATAGAGTGTGAAATGCTCACTCCTATTTTGCAATACTATTCACAAAATAGTATAAAAACAATCTAAAGATCAAGGAAAATGCTTGACCTGAACTTCGATATTGAGTTTCTTGTCTCATGTCTACTGAACTGTGGAGAGATCCATAAAGGGCTAAATACTAACCAGGCCCTAGGCGGTGGGGTCAGCATATTGCCCCACTTTGGTGGGTCCCGACCTTGGCAAGCCAGATAAATCAAGCCTAAGGCTTCAGTGGGCCTTTTTTCCAATCCTCATAACTGCTGACAGGAACCTTTGACCCTTGGCCACTGTGGTCTTTCGTTCTGCTGTCCACTACATAAGTACATTTAGCTGTGCTGAATACCTGGTCGTCAGTCTGGATATATTCCTCTGCAGTGAGAGATGCCTCCAAGGCAGGAAGTCATGAGAAAAAAATGTACGGCCAGGTTTATCAGAGAAAGAAAGTTGCAGAGTGATTTTAGTTACTGAAAATGGTTAAATTGTGAATTTTATATTTACTAACAACCTGTGGGTTTCTGCATGGCCAACTTTTAATTTGATTTATAAAAGGACAGTACCCCAAACCTGCTGTGAATTTAATACATAGTACAGTATATGCATTTGACAATTTTAGCAATGGTTGTATTTAACCATGACTTGGAAGTAATATCAAGTGTTTCCATGTGTTTCAGGAGTGGACCGATTCAGCGATGACATTGAGGAGATGATTGGGCAGCGACCAGGCATGTACTGGAGGCTGTGCTGGAAGTTTGTCAGCCCCTGCTTCCTCCTGGTGAGTCACTGCACAGACATATTGTACCTTGGAACCCTAACCAAGGGACAGAAAATACATAGTGAGATTAAAGCATTTTATCCTCACTAATACATGCTTTTGGCACTGGAGATTCCAGTCTCCCTAGTACTGATTGGAACAGTTCTCATTATTTTAAACTTTTAGGCTGGTTGAATTAATAAGTAGTTACCACCACTCCGTACTGTATCCAACAATCCATTAGTCCAGCGGCTATTATGGGCAAAACCAAACATCCCAGATGATTTTATTTTTTTCCCTCTACAACTTTATCCAGAATCTCCTGAAGAGCTCCTAGGCCACCTGAGAGACATGCAGTGCATCTGGAAAGTACTCACAGCGCTTCAATTTTTATTGAATGCGACAGCCTTATTCCAAAATGAATGAAATTCATTATTTTTACTCAAAATTATACAAAAAATACCCCATAATGACAATTTCAAAGAAGTTTGTTTAAAATCTGTGCAATTTTATTTTTTATTTTTTAAACGAAAAAAAAAAGCACATGTACATAAGTATTCACAACTTTTGCCATGACACTCAAAATTGAGCTCAGATGCATCCTGTTTCCACTGATCATCCTTGAGATGTTTCTATCGGTGGTACATTCGGTTGATCTATATAAAGGTCTATATAACGTCCCACAGTTAACATGCATGTCTGTAGACCTCCGAGACAGGATTGTATCAAGGCACAGATCTGGGGAAGGGTACAGAAAAATTTCTGCTGCATTGAAGGTCCCAATGAGCACCATGGCCTCCATCATCCTAGAGCTGGCCGCCCGGCCAAATTGAGCAATCGGGGGAGAAGGGCCTTAGAACTCCAGCGTGTCTCTGTGGATTGAGGAGAATCTTCCAGTAGAATAGTGTTTCTCAACGGGGGCGGTACCGAGGACCGAGGCGTTCTGAGGACGATGGAGGGCGCTGCAAGCTATATTTAGGAGGGGCGCTGAGCTGCTTTTGGGGGGGGGCGTTTGTTAGTTGGCAATTCTAAGGAGAGTTTACACCAAAGATTCACAACAATACAAGTTTAAACTTTAAACTACTTGCTAAAAAACTGTGGTCTGCCACATTAAAACCTGCCAGTTTAGTCCACTGCGACTGAACGAGACGGTGTATTTTTTTCCCTCAGCTACTTGTGGTGCAGGTCCGTGCTGCCTTCAGGCGAACGGGAAGTCAGAGTATCATCTGTAAAATTTGACCCACATGGTGTTTACTGTGTAAACTCTGGAAATTGACGCTCTCTTTCTTGGTATTACCGTGGAAAAGTGTTTATGTCTCTGAGGAATACAACGTAAACGTCTTGTTATCGCATTTACAAGAGGGATATTCCGCTGTCGGACTCACCCTGAAAAGCAACTTCACTGCAACACCAGCGAGTGAGGAGGACCCACCTCGACAGTCTGTGCCAAAGCGGACATATACGGTAGTTTAAGTAGGCTATAAAATTATAACATTAAAAACTGAAGCCCTGACTTGCTCTGTCGGGGATTGTAAGCAGTGTAAACTTTATCAGAGGTGTTGAAGTTAACGTGTTAACATTTGTCGTGAGATTTCTGCCTGATCACAGGTGTAGGTTAGTTTTGTTTTCCCCCGGCATGAGCACCTCCTCGTCTCATCCAGTTCTGTGTCTGTCAAACGGTCGAGGGGATACTTCCAGCAAATCAGTAAGGTAATGCAGTATAGGGCTTGTAGTAAAATATTATGAATTCTCTTTAAATAGGCTAATGACGTTAGTCTTCTAATATTACGACTTTTTTCTTTACAAGTTAGAGAACACAGATAGTGGGAGAGATTCTGAATGTGCAGAAAGTTTTGAACATGAGTAGATAAGTTACAGTGTTTCCCATACGTTCATTTATTTGTGGCGGCCCGCTACAATATCAATGCTGACCGCGACATATTTTAATTTTTTTTTACTACTCAACTATGCCTATTTAAATAGGCATAGTTGATTGAAGAGCTGCAGGCAGCACTTATTCGCGCAGCACATCCTCTCACTCAACCCGCTCTCTCTCCCTCATGAACACAGCTGCACAAATCAGTCCAACACAAGGCTGTCAATGTTGGAGACCCAGCTTAAAAAAAGTTATTAGCAAGCAGACTAGCTAATAAGGAGAGCTAATTTAAAGTTAGAATACAGCTGGGTTTTCGAGGCTAGCATGCTGTATATAGCATGACCATATAGTCATTCTGTGGGAAACACTGAGTTATGATATGATAAGTTATTAACAGATGAGCTAATAAAGTCCCGCCAATAACTGAATTAAAACGGATTAATTTATCACTGAGATGAAAAGGGGCCACACACACATTTAAATAGGTTACTTCCCCACAAAAGATACAAAAGAGGAGGTAAGACTTAATCATGTGTCACTCAGCAGGGATGATATTAAATAAGGTGAAGATAAGTTAACAGGAGAAAAATATTTAAAAGCAATAACGAATGTCTGAGAGCCTCACTACGTTATATTCTACTATAATTATATATTTTGAATTGTCACCTGCCACATGAATTTTGTGTTTCCCTTTATATAATAAGATATTTCCACCATAAATTGGTACAGAAAAGGCAGAAATTGGAGCAGAAATTAAAAATTAAAATTAAATTAAAAATCTAATTCACTTATCAAGTGCCCCATCCAAGAAACCAGTCTCTGGCTTCACACACAGTTTCTAGGAGGAACATTCACTTATTAGTTAAATATAATTACTTTTCACATGTTTTTTTTTCCACCCGATTGAACATCTCTGAAGAGATCTGAAAATGGCTATGCACCGATGCTCCCCATCCAACCTGACGTTGCCATTATGGGGTATTTTTTTGTAGAATTTTGAGGAAAAAAATGAATTTCATCCCTTTTGGAATAAGGCTGTAACATACCAAAATGTGGAAAAAGTGAAGCAATGTGAATACTTTCCGGATGCACTGTAACTCCTCTAGTGTGTCCTGAGGTCAGTACACATACACAGCTATATGTATAAAAGAAAAAAGGTCTTTCCTAATTTGGCTGGCTAAAGATACATTTAGAAAACACTCCTTGTCAACAAATGACACAGACAGGATCGATAAATTCACTTCAACTCTGGATTTTAGGGAAGGAGAGGATTTAAGGTAAGATTCTGAATTTTGGCATTCAGTCAGATTCTTGTTTGTACATGTAGTTTTTGCAACGCATTTCCCATGTAAGGCTGAGAGGTGTGACTTAAAGAGGTTGTAGGAACACACGGTTTGGCATTCAACATGCCTACCACCACTTGTTCCATCTTGTACTGTGTCTAGATGTAATGGTTTGACAATATTAATATTGCCACTTTTTGTTTTTAACTGCTAGTAGAAATCACAATGCTAACATCCCGTATCAGAAAACTCCAACTACATTGGACCACTGAATTAATTTGCTTTTAAGATGACTTGTGAAATGAATGGTGAATCTGAACTGATATTTTCTTAAGTCTTCAAATCATTTTCTTCCATAGTTTATGGTGGTGGTGAGCTTTGCCACGTTCAACCCCCCAAACTACGGCTCCTACATGTTTCCTCCATGGGCTAACATGGTGGGGTGGTGTCTGGCCATTTCCTCAATGAGCATGGTGCCTCTTTATGCCATCTACAAACTCTGCTCACTGCGTGGAAAGTTTTGCGATGTAAGTCAGGGCTATGACGTCTTGGCTAAAATGGAGTGGGGGGAAATTAGTTATTGTAATTTCCAGTATAAATGTTCATATTTAGTAAGCTTAAGAAGCCATTAAACATCAGGTATTGTTTTTGAAATATTTAACTAACTTTTACCCTTTCTCCTGAAACAGCGACTGGCTTATGCCATCACCCCAGAGACAGAGCATCATTTAGTGGACAATGGGGAGGTTCGGCAGTTCACAGTAAGTGCTGACTTAATTATGATTAAATTTTATTGTGTCCTAATCATATTTTTTGTTGCAGGTTGATATTACTAATTTTTTTTAGCTCATGACCAGTACAGTATCTATTTAACAGTATTATTTCATGGGCATATTTGATTTTTCCCACAGCTGCATCACTGGTTGGTGGTCTGAAAAATACAAAGAGAGTGAGAGAGATTGAAAGAGTGAGATAAAGAGAATGGGCATTGGGTGGATGAATGCATGCGCAGCAATGGTCTGAAGAGCTAAGAAGAAGAAATAACCATTTATATCGATCGCGACGGTGGTGGTGGTGGGAACAGTTTAAAAGTGCCGACAAAAAACCCATAGAAACTGTAGTGTTCTTTAATTTCAACAGTGGATGTGTGAAGCTGTGTGCATTGGCCCTCTCCACCATTGTGTTGCCACTGGTGAATGGGATTCATTCAAACAGGTAATGGCATTCACACTGCTTCCTCCATAAATAGAAAACTCCTCCTGAAGAGTTTTAGCCTGTCAGTTATTTTTACTTTGCACTTGTCACAGTGTGAGAAATATTCTCAGAATCGCTGGGATAACCCATTAATTTTCAATAATTTGTATTTATTCTATATTTTTTTATCTTCAAGCAGTAGGTGGCTTTTTTCCCCAGTTTCTCATTCTAGGGCAAAACTTAGCAGTGATATATGTTATGAATGCCACAGGTTTTACTGAATCCCAGTCTATAACTTGTTTATAATATTTGTTTATTTACTTGCTTTTCTTAAAGACTGTTATAATACACACAATTCCTGCCGACTTTGAAGAGAAGACACCTACTTTTGTTTACATCAAAACGATTTTTAGGATTTTCATTTGAATAAACTAAAACTACAAGTGTATGGACATTACCTGATGATTACCATCACAGTTCACACTTAGCGGGGTCCAAATCTTTCATAAACAAAAAATCCCTCATCGGTTACACTGAAACACTTTATGACCAGCAGTGCAGATGAGTAGTGTTATCAAATGTTGGTCATTTCATTACATGGGTGAGTATATAAAAAAATTCCTAAAACTGAATGTGTCTGTTATCAGACTTAAACATCTGTCCCAAAGTCCTATCAGCCTAATACGTGGACAACACCCCGTTCTAGACTTGACACCTTCCAAATAATTGTCACAGAGAAAAACAACATCATCAGCCACACTGCTGATCTAATCAACCAAAGAAATTCAGATACCACTTTATCACATTTTTCTCTTTATCAATAGACCACTTGATTGTTAACTGTATTGTCCCAGGTCAATCTCTCTTCCCCATTATAACAAATGAGTGCCAATGCATATACTTTTCCCCTTTCTTTTGAAAATTTGTGTGTGTGTGTGGGGGGGGGGGGTTCCCAAAGTGTTTCAGGTGGTGATTGAAAAGCTATGACTGTCACATTTCCAGAAAGCATAAAAGCTTTAATTTTACAGTTTACAGAATCTTATTCAGTATTTTAAGACTGTTTCAAAAGCTGCTTTTTATTGAACTGCAAATGAATAGTGTGTAATGTAATATATGAATTAAGTTAAATATATGTGTAAGTAAATGTAATGTAGAGGGTCTTGTATCGTATTGTTCTGTATGATATTGAATAACAAGACCAATAAGATTATGTATATGTATAGATTATTGCTTTGTTACTGTGAAGTTGATACATATTAGCCTTAAGAATCTTGGTGAGAATTACATGGAAAGTCCATTTAGAAGTTCTTCTCATGAACTCTTTCTGTTAAATCAGAACCATAAAACATTTTTCAAGTGGGTCAGCAATGACTTGTTTTCACCTTGTGATACATGTAACACACTGAAGGGTTAATCATGTCCTAAATTGTATGCCTGTGCTGATGTATTGTGCCTTGTGGTGTTTCTAATTGTATGACTTTGTTTTGTACTGTCATAATTAATTAAATTACTAAATTTAAAATGTCCCTCTCTGTTTTGCCTTCTCTCTTTTTTTCTTTCTTTCATTTTGTGATTTAAAAGAAAATTAATGTGCCATTTGTTATCCCTTTCTGTAGTGGTTTTAGAGAAGGTCAGACAAAGACACATAAAACTGCAGTCATTAAGCCGACGAGGCAAAATAACCTGAACATTTCATCACCATGCTAACATTTTGATAACAGTTGAAGCTTGATTCCCAAATAGAAACAACTCTGAGATTTGTCTGTTAAAAATGGATTTAACATGACCACCAAATTCAAACTGCTGAATCATTGTACACTATTCATCAATCATCTGGACTGCACACACACACACAAACCTTTTTCCCCAATTATTGTGAAATTAAATAACATATTACTTCTTTCTGTCACTGTGCTTACACAATTAACAATCAACAACATTGTAAAAGCTGTAGAAATATGTTAAGTAAGTAAATAAGTCCTAAAATGTTATCGTCATTAGTAGTGTCAGGGTTCCTCTTGCACTAATATATATATATATATATATATATATTCAATATTCCAGAATGAGACACCGATCATGTAGCCTCCAAACAGATCTATATGCCTCCTTCTAAACAGAGAAAGCACAAATAGGGAAACATAAAAACAGCCCTAACGTAGTGAAGAGTATTTGTAATTATTGTGACCTTTTTTCAAGATTGGTCAGCATGACTTTGAATCAACAGTGTTCATTACAGTAAGCAGACAGTCAGAACCCACTGTCTTGGGGACAATCCATGCAGACTGAGGGACCAATATCCACATCAGACAACATTTGTTTGCTGTCATTCAAGCATTCAGATATATTGACATTTGTTGTAATCAGCGGCCTGACCATCATTCTTGAGTTAGGTGTTTCTCGTAAGACATGTACACTATTAACCTTTTGCAAAACAAACATTTAGGGCAGGGCAGCCTAACCTCCTGATGTGCACGTAGGTGTACTGTCTAATAATAATAGTCTTGTTTAGTAGTTACTTATGGGTTATTGGACCCTTTATAGAGGGGAAGACAGAAATAATGTAGATAAAATGTCACGATTGTGTGGTTGACAAGGTTGGTGGACCCAAATGCAGGACACGGATTCAGCAGGTGAAGTTCAAAGATTTAATTAAACAAAAGGCGAGCACACTTACAGAGGACATTCCCATGGTCTTTATACTTGCTTATAATTGTTTGAACAGATGAACGTGGCACCTTCAGGCATTTGGAAATTGCATCCAAGGATGAACCAGACTTGCGCAAGTCCACAATTCTCTTCCTGACATCTTGGCTGATTTCTTTTGACTTTCCCCTGATGTTACACAAAGAAGCAATGTGTTTCAGGTGTGCCTTAAAAAACATCCACAGGTGTAATTAACTCAAATGTTGTCATCAAACCTATCAGAAGCTTCAAAAGACATGACATCATCATCCAGGCTTTCCAAAATTGTTTAAAGGCATAGTAATCCTAGTATATTTAAAATTCTAAAGAAAGTAATTAAAAATAGTCTAAATAAATCCTTCTCTCATTATTCTGGCATTTAGCAAATATAAATAATTTTGGTAATCTTAACGGACCTAAAACAGGAAAAGTGATTGTCTGATTTCATGTCAGACAGTGAGGAAAAAAGCATATGTGTCTTGTTATATATTGTATGTAAACTTCTGGTTTCAACTGTATACACACAGGGACTAACGAGCAGGGCGGGAGCAACACTGGTGACAGGGAACAGGACTAACGAGGCAGAGAGACAGCAGTGGAAAACAGAGAGATAGGCATGCAAAGGGATAACTGGGGGAACAAACATAACCTAGGTAATGGACACTAAACACAGAATGATCATAAACCAATGAACAACTAATCAGGCAGAGATTACAATAACACTAGACAGGTAGAAAGAAACCGAGCATGAAACAAACACCAGATAATAACAATAAGACAAGAACTAGGCCGGCACAGATACAAACATGAACAGAACTGAACATAAGGCACAGGCAACTGACACATTAGAAGAAACATACAACAGATCATACCGACAGACTACAGACGTAACAGGGAGAACAGACTGAACTAATAACAGAACACACAGCAGACATAGGGTAAAAATAACAACCAACACAGAAGTACACAGACCAGGAGTAACACTAAGACATGAAACCAAAACCCAGACACACAGAAATCAAAACACAGAGAACCCATGGCCAAAATAATATAACACAGAACACCTCAGGACAGGATTGTGACATTAAATGTCTCATCTTCATCATTTTTACCTTATTTCATCACTGGCCAAGTGCAACATTCTTGCACTTGACTCTGTGTGACCAGGCTTGCTTGATATGCTTACAGCATTCTTACACAGACTGAAACTGGGAAGAGGGAATTATTACTGCAACAAATAGGTATATTGTATTTCATTTTAATTTATTTTCCTCCAAATGGAAATATTCTAAGTCTTAAGTCTCAGTCAGTTGTCTACTTTTATTGAAGAGATAGATGAGCTGAAAATGGCACATTAGTATTAAGTTACATTCATATAAAACACATATTGTTGCAACAATAGAGACCTGTCTGAATATACAACTTACTCGAATTCAATTTGTGGCAGTAAACATGTTGATTTCACTCATACTATCAACTATACGGTCGTCATTCTTACATTTTAAATGACATGGAAACATCTGAAAGATGTTAGCTGTGTGATTTTCCAAATGTTGTCAAGCTAGGACAATTGCAAAGCAATTTTGGCCATGCAAGGATTGGGTTTAAAAGGTGCCATTATCACATCCAATAAACTACAGCAATTATGTATAATTTCATGTCTTGCCACTGACATGGCAACTGAAAGGATATACACAGGGAGAGGTGAAAAGAAAAGGAATTTTGTTATTTAGAGGTGCAGTTATACAAAATTGCCTCAACTTTGTGATATTGGCTTTGTCTTAACATTGTGTCATAGGGGATGCACACGATCAACAACCAACTAGTGGCCTTAACTGAAATATCACTCCAATACTGATAATGAGAGAGTAGATGAGCATGAGACTGGTTTGTAGTTGAGAAAGTTGGCATGATAGCGTCTGTGTCTGCCTTTTTCATCTTGTCTGACCTGTCCTGTGTGTTGTTCTGGTTTTCTTCAAGGTTTTGTTCTGGGTCTGATTTTGTTGGCATTACATATGCTTTCTCTCCGGCAGATAATAAGTCATTTTAAATGTATCTCCTAGCATTGCTATGCAGACAGTATTCATGTATATCTCCTTCGGGCCTCAAAATGTAGTATAACTGTCAGTTAGACAAAAGTGCCTCAACTCTGTGAAAAACTGAATGGCAGATAATTCCTACACAAGCTCTTATTTTTGCCCCAACTGCATTTGTCCTGAAGGTGATAGAATGTCTTGGCTCTCTTTCATCCTCTGTTAAATCTACCCTCTGTAATCTAGGTGTTTCTATGGGCTAGGCTTAGAGTCTTGAACGGCTTGTAAATTGTTTGTTTTGCTCCACTTTTACAAGCTGAGGAACAACCCATTGTGTCCTTAGCCAAGATGGAGCTGATTATTCATGGGTTTGTTTCTTCCTGCCTTGAATATTGCAATTTCCTTTTCAGCTGCCTTTTTAAAGACTCCCCTTGCTTACAAGTGGTCCAAAATGCTGCAGCTCATCATCACCAGTAGGAGTCTGAGGTCATCTGATCAGTGCTTGTTGGTTTTTTCTCTTTTATCGTGAAACACTTCATGATGTCTGTTCTTGGTGCCATATAAATAAACTTACTAGACACTGAAGACTTAGTTAGGCATGCTATTTGGACACAACAGCAGGCTCCACAGTGTAATTTCAACATGTATCTACATTTGATTAGAGTAACACTAGCATATATTTTGAATACCACAAAAACATTCAAAGAAATGACTATTGTCATTATATGGTACAGTTGTGAGTTTTACAGAACTACATAGTTTCTCAAATTGTTGAGTAAGTAAGTAAGTAATGATGAGGACAGCAGGTGTACATGCCCCAGTTTTGTTCACATTTTGAACGGAGCATATATGATTGTTCATACCTTTCACACCTAAACATTTTTTGGATTTTCACTGAAAGACTTGCTCACTGCAGAAAACATGTGCGTGCCTGTTGTGTGTGTGAGCTGAGCCAGTGGGTGACTTGTTTTTGTTGTACACTGCCCTCTACTGACAAAATTTCAGCACTACACATCATTCCATGTTTGCAAATCATCAGTCATAATCACGTATCCTCATTCATGCAGTCCAAAAAGAAAAAAAGAACATATCTATGGCTTATCTTTGCCAAAGATGCCATGAAAATAGAATGTTTGTCAAGCTACTGGGTAAAAATCAAAGTTTAATACCTTTAAAGAGACTAACATATTTCCTTCACATATCTTTAATTATGGGATGTTGAAAACCTCTATGGACAAAACATGAAATTGAACACTTATAGTACAAACATATTAGAAACTATATCCAGTGAAATAGTAAACACTAAAATGCCATCCAAAAATCTAACAGAAAACTTTACAACACATACTAACTTCAAAACAGGATGCAGAAGCTAATCACTCATTCAAAGCAATGCTTCTTTCTTCATTTTTGCAAGACAAAATTATAATTCCACTCTCAACCTCTGCCTCCCTATGTTTTATATCACTCTCGACTAAAAGACTAAACCTAATGCAAAATATACCTCATCAACAGTATTTTATGGTCTATCATAAAGCTAGTTCTCTCTTAACTTCCATTGGATGTGTGTCTTTAAAGTGACACCTTCTAAAAGCATGACTCCAACTTGTAAATAATATTCTGAGGTAAGTTCCAGTTAGATGTTGTATATTTTGCAGTATTTCAGCATCCATTCAGTATGTTCTTCAGAAGTAATCTTCTTTCTGCAGTTACTCTCCTGCTCAACATTTTTGTAATTCTTGCACATATACTGCAGCTCCATCTGGTGGGCTACAGAGAGAAACGCATCCAAATAATTAGTAGCCTACATACAGTAGTTGGACTACATGGGTGCAGTTTAGAGGGTGACACAAGAGTGGATTTTTTACTCCTACAAAAGTAATCCTGTCCTGACCCAAAGCCATGACAGACTAAAACAAAAATCTAACTGTTGGCAGTGCTCACGCCCCAACGCATCAGCAATTCTGCCGCTGATTGCTGTTGCTGATGATGAGAAGGTCATGAGGACAGTAAGGTGAAGGAGGAGGAAAGAGGTGAGAAGAGGTTTTGGTAATAACTAGCTGTCTGGCTCCTTACAGCTGCCACAAATACGAATTCACAGAAATTTAACTGCAGGCTGTTGTATCTATGACATCTATTCTATGGGATGTATAGCCTAAATGAGTAACGTAATAATAATAATAATAATAATAATCCTTATTTGTAGAGCACTTTTCAAAAACAAGTTACAAAGTGCTTTAACAAGTGTAAAGAATAATACAAAAAAAAAGATAAGAGCATGAAAATTTAATATAAAATTAGTAAAATACAATAAAATAAAAGGGATAAACGTATGGCTTGTAGTGGGGAAATATTTACAAGCATTTACATTAAAGAAACTGGACAAAACGAATTAATCCAGGCATTCATGTTGTAGACTATTATAAATTCCTCTGGCTTTTAATTGATGCAACAGGAAACGTGTAGAGTAGCTACAATGCTCCCTGTTGTTGCGCACCACAATTTTAGTACACAAAACAAACATGTTTTTTGTCCCACTTTTGGGACGTCACCGGCGACCCAGGTTTCCAATTGGTCTCCTGATGCCCAATTAACTTTCGCACATGGTTGTTTGAGACTTATACTCCCACATATCGGTTTACATTTTTTTATCTGCTCACATAGTTCGTCATGCGTCTTTGGTTATGTTTACTACAGACTGACATTGTGAATTTCATCAAATAAGCCTGTTGTTCCTCATCAGTTAATGACTGACTACCTGTTGATTACTGCCGTGCAAGGTCCTCGCTGAGAGAACTGCGGTGTGTTGCCATAGATACATCCTAACAGCTCCCACGATACTCAGCCGACATCGTGGGGAAACTGCAGACACCCGTCTGGCTTTCATCTTCACCTGCTGCGTAGCTGTGCACACGAAGCAGATAACTCTGCACCGTTTCCTTTGTAGCGAATTGAGATTCTGCAAAACTTGTGCTATGGATAGTTGTCACTTATAACACCGCGGTACATCAACAGTTTCATCCCTATGGTCATATTTTTCATTCAGAAACCTCCTCCTTTTGCCCTGAACGCTTTTTGTGTCCAAACTGCCGAACTCGAAGATTTGCGTGCCGCATCCAACTCCGCTCAACCTTACACATTTGTCCAGGATGTACCAGCTCTAATGTCATTAAAATGGCCTACAGGCTTTTGTCTCGCAATTGGGATCAACCTGTTGTAAGTTTATTATAACAAAGCTCTCTCTCTCTCCGTCGCGCGCCAGCTTGCTTTTACGCACAACGATGAGCTCGGAGAAGCCAAACTTTCTGTCACAGCCCGTCGTGAAGAACATTTTCATGTTCCGAAACGGCGATCCTTACTACGACGCTCGCCGGATTGTGATAAATCAAAGGAGGGTGTCCAACTTTGAGACTTTGTTGAGAGAGGTGACCGGCGGGATACAAGCCCCATTTGGTGCGGTGAGAAACATCTACACACCGAGAGGAGGCCACAAGGTGGACAGCTTGGAGAGCCTGCGGAGCGGGGAGCAGTACGTCGCTGCTGGGAAGGAGAGATTCAAAAGGCTGGAGTAAGACTAAACTAACGTTTGGATTAATAATACGTTCAGATGGTTTTTCTCTCTGTAGCTAAGCCTAAAGAATATATATGCATAAATACTGGTGATACAACTGTGGGTGACCAGGGTCAACCCCTCTGTCAGTAGGCTATTGCATGCAGGAAGTCATGCTGGTCAGTTGAAATAACTGCTAATAATTAAAATCTCAGTTGAAATACACTGCTCACACACTAACTGGGTCATGGTCTTAATGTATATGTGACTCACCAGTTTTGCACCACTGTTGAGTGAGAGAAGTTTGCTCAGGCCTAAAAATAAGTGGACTTATGCTGCAGATAATGAGATCAGTGCATCAAGTTATTTATAGAATGTAGTGGTGAAGCAGTTGAGTGGGAAGGTATTCTGGACCCATGAAGTTTGTATGGGGTCACCATGCTCCTAGACATTGTTTTTTTTTAATTACCTGGAAAAGATGTGGATGCATTTTGTATATCCTCTGCTGCAGAACTGATACCGAATATATAATGAACTTGCATAGTCATCATCCTCTTGTCCCTTTCACTGTATAGGCTAACACATTGTTGCTTTAATACCCAGAGGAATTGTCTGGAAAATCAGTTCTAATGCAAGGGAAGATAAATACACAAATGATTTACCAACTAACCATTTAGTTACAGTAAATATGTTTGTCCTCATTATGCATAATGTGGTGCTGCACAGTGGGTACGGCTTTAACTGACTGCTAAAATGAGAGGTAGCAGAGACGTTATTTAACTGTATAACTGTGAAAAAAAATCAACATGATGAATATCTCTTACTATGTTAAAAGTGTCAGCACAATCACACCACTAACTGATGAAATATAGTAATATTTCTTAGTTTGTGAATTATGATATACCCCTGTTAAAAATCAGAGCTGGGTGTGACTAATTTAAGGCTTACTTCACTTTATTTTGTCTATAGTTATCTACAGATTGGCTCGAGAAGGAAAAGGATGATGCAAACTCTTCCAATGCAGGTATGGCGAAAGTGTGTTTTGTCAGAAAGTCACCAGTGTGTTAGTGCAAGTTAATCAAGAAAGGTAAGTTCTTGTTGAATGCATTAAAATGTCTGAGGTTGAAAAAGACTTGACCTCCGCTTTATAACGATTAATGAAATATGAATCACCATGTAGGAACTGCGATGCCTAATGAAAGTGTAATAAAAGAGATAAAAGTGCGAACAAGAGAAGAAGAAAGGCAAGAAAAACATACTGCCATGTCACTGTGGCACTTCATGAAGGTACAGCTGCTAATAGCTGTGCCTGGAATACCCAATCTGTGTAATCTTTGGCATCATATTAAAACAATCTGCAGAGATGGAACCTGTTTACATAATTCACATAGTCTTGTCAGTCATCCAGACAGTATCAGGGTGTGATGCATCCTTGCATGGCCTTGCCAGGGAAGATCCTCGGGTTCTTCTCCACCTCCGGATCCCTTAGCTTTGCAGTAAGAAACACTAGTAGCCTCAGATGATTCGACAGGAATGTACTGGATAAAATGGGTTTTTTTCTTTTGAATTTCCAGCTGTGTAAGCTCAGTTATGCTTCAGTAGCCGCATGAGAATGAATACCTTAATTACAAACATACGTCATTGTCTGTTATTTTATTGCATTACTTTAGTTATTTTTTAGAGACTAGTTAAACCCTTCACTGGTTGTGTTTTTATGGCAAGTTTTCAGTTATAATACCCTTACTCAATCCAACATTTCGACATTTTAAACTGCCCCAAAATGCATGATACATGAGGATTTGGGAACATCACCCCTGCACTCCTGCCCTCACCCACAATGTAAAGGTTTTAGAAAGATCATTTAAGAGAGGTGCAATGTTGAGCATTCCTCTCTGTTGTTTTCGATGAAGAATCACTTTGTTGTCGTCTCGGTGACCATGCATTATTTATTTATGGATCATAATCATCCCTCCTTTCAATGCATCTTTAATCACCAGCTATGAAGTCACGGCCAGAACAAGAGCAGCTTAAAGTCAGGTAGCCCACAGGCTCATCTATTTTGAAAGTCGACTGCAGGTCCCCTTTCCAAATGAAAAGGTTGTTTTTTATTTGTTTATAATGAAATGTATAATAAGGAAGGCACAGATGTGTGTACTAGCACCCAAAACCTTATTAACTCCGTTCATGTTGTTTTGGGGTCAATATGGCGAGAAATATATGTGCAAAACTTTTACATGCAGAAAAAAACAGTGGGTCACAGAAGGTCTATTCTGTGCTAAAAGTCTGCAGCCCTATTTATTTAATTATTTATTTTGTCATTGACTTTTGTCCCTGGTGTGTTAACTGCCTCTCTTCACTTTAACATGTTAATCATACAAAGATAATCAGGAACTGCTCTCTGTGTTCTTGATTTGGTCTTATCACCCGCTAGCAAGTAGCATATTCCTCACAGATTACCTTGAGGACTTGTTGTTGCTGCTGTGATTGTGTTGCGAGCATGCAAAGGGCCAATTTAGTTTAAAAGGACCCTGTCTCCCCTTCACCGCCCCACTCAACCTGCTTGATTGTGCCAGTTCATGACGAGAACTCTTAGCTGGCTAGATGGTTGGCAAGTTTGCTTCTTTTATTGATTTTGGAGCATTTTAGGAAGGACTAATTACAGGAGGGTCGTGGCCTCAGGCGTACCTTTCTAAATGTGGCTGATTTTGACCACAGCTCAGAAGTCACCATCAGACAATATGCTGCTATGAAGCAATCATTTTTCATGCTCATACTCTTTTTCTATTGTTGTTTCATATTGAAATTAGCTTTTTTGAGGAAATGGGATGACCTGCTAGTTTCACTGATGTTAGTATACGGAAGGAGTGTTTAAGTGAGATGAAAATTGGTCATAGTGATTTTTCACCACCAGTCAAGATGTAGTACCTCGTTATACACAAAACCCTTACATCATAAATTAGTGCTGACTTTTTGAATTGATTTAGCTGTATCTAAAATCTGCACTCTCTAGACGGAATCGAGTGGGTGTGAGATGTAGTAAAGTTCATGAGCTGCATTGAAAGTACATGGTATTTCCTTGGTGTTGTTTTCCTGTTAAAGGCACCTGCTACACTGTAAGTTTCATCGTTTTGCTCATTAAATCTGTGCAAACTTTGCACTAAGTACAAAGTGATGGTGTACACGGACACTAAAATGAGCTTTAGGGACTATTTCCTGCTGTAGCATCGAAGAATCTCACATGCTTGTTTATGTTTGTTCCTGGCTTGGATTTGTTACAAACTGTGTGGCATATACTCCTGATAGCTGTGCCATCGGTGTGTGTGTGTGTGTGTGTGTGTGTGTGTGTGTGTGTGTGTGTGTGTGTGTGTGTGTGTGTGTGTGTGTGTGTGTTTGAATGATTAGTTCCTTTCTGATGAGCAGTTGGCACCTTCCCTCTGCGTGGCAATGGGGTGAATGTGACATTTTGAGTGATTGGAAGACTAGAAAGGTGCTATGCAAGTATGGCCTGGTCACAATTGGGGAGACCGAACACAGAATAAAATTTTGTGGTTCTTTATTCCATGACTGTACTCAATAAGGGACAGTGTTATTACTGTAATTTTGAGGATCTAAGATAGTTGCAGTTGTAACATAACAAAATAATTACTTTTCCCTCCTGCTGTTCTTTTTCTCTGATATCATAGGCATCTGATATCAACTGTCAGCTTTAATAGTGCGCTTTAATACTCAAAAAATACCACAGAATATGAATAGTAATACATTTTATTTATAGGTGCCTTTCAGAACACTCAAGGTCACCTCACAAAACATAATAAAACAGTAAAGCAATAAATCGATAAAATTAACAACTATAATTACAGAGCATAAAATCAGGGTACATAACAGTTACTGTAAACAGACTTAAATTCACTGTCTTCTGCAGATAACTGCACCTAACTAGTAAACTTCAGGTATTAGCTGTCTGTAGACATTAGCTATATCTAGACATAAAAAGTGGCATAGTGCTAGTCATTTGTTTGTGTCTACTAGAGTGCCAACTTGGGAGGCACTCTTAAGACAACTGATGTTTAGTTTTATGTGTCGCCTGGACAAGTCAGAGAATCATATCATTGAAGCCCTAGTCAGTCCTCTGAAAAGCTGCTATAGATACACTTCTAGGTTAAGACGACATTGGTGCAATAGTCTGTATATCCTAGGCTAATATGGAATTTGTATGCATGTTTTTTTATTTTATTTATTTATTTTATTTATGTATTTCCTTGTATTGTGTACTGTATGATGTGTTATATGGACCTGTGTCTGCAATAAAGTTATTATTATTTCCCTAGCCATTATTAACTCTCTCTGGACTCTAGACATTAGACAACAGTAGTGGCTCTTTCTAAATAAAGAAAATAAGACAGATACAAATACAAATAACCACATTCAGTAAGCCACACAACTCATATAGTTGTAACTCAAAGTAAAATGCTTAAATTCACTGTGAGACATAAAATACATTCATGCTCAAAATATACTTTTACAAACATTTTTACTGGAGCTCAAAACTAATGTTACATAAAAACAAGTGTCATCAACTCAATCATTCCAATGTGCAGCCTGTGCTCCAAAACACGTCAACACACATAAATCTCCTCTCTAAGTTAGACAGAAACTGTACAAAATGGACACAGCTTATTTAAACAGTCAGATTACACCATGAAGTAATTCTGTTTATAATTACGCTGACCCCACAGTTCAGTGTTTCCCTCAGCATGGCAAAGATACAACCTCGTTTACCAATCTACAGGAACTGGCAGGAATACAAAATCATCATTCTTCTACCTCAGTCTGCAAGCTTATTCACACTCTTATGCGCTAACATTGACAACTGTTTTTGTACTTTGTTGAAGTTTATGGAGATATTTGTCCTGCACATAAACCAAAATGCGCACCTGGGTAGCCGCTTGTTTCTCTGTAGGCTACTGCCAAAACTCTGCGCTCTCGCATGATCTGACTTTTGAGCTGCTGTTAAAGTAACAGTGCCACTTCAAAGAAAAGGGAACTCTATTACAGCAGTAATCCCATTCTATACACCCCAAATCCCTCTGTTCCCCTGTTTTACCTGACTACACAAGTACAGTTCATTTAATGTTTTCGGGGAATTTTGATTATTTTAATTATGTAAATTAAAATGCATTTTAATGTTAAATATTCTTCTGTGTTGTAATACCCCCTGACCTCATGCCTTGTTACTGGTACACCCCTGAATATGTCCCACACCGTCACACCGTCACACCTGCATCGCCAGAGAGCACTCACCGACCCCAGAAGAATTTTAATAAATCTACCTTTAATATACCTTATCTCTTTCTCTCTCTCACAGGATCTAAGTGGTAGAGTCACAGTGGGTTACCAGGTGTTATGGGACAAAGCCTGCAGTGCTCCCTCTTTGCAACCTCACAACCTCAAAGGATTACAGAGTGCTCATTCTTTTGCCATCACAGAGATGAGAGACAGATTATTTTAATGTGTACTGTAATAGCTCTTTCTCTTAGCCTTTAGGGAGAAAAGCTGTTTGATGTCACATTATCTTGCTTTTTTTTAATACCATTTACTGAAATTTCTCACAGCAAAGAAAAAAATCATTAAAAAGATAGATTTAGATAGATTTTTAAATAATTAAATGAATTATTGTCCACAATATATGCTACATCTAACTGTTGCCACTCTTAGTGGCTCTGACTCTCCAAGCAGTTCTGTTAGCCCTGCTATATTTAGGAGCTGCAGTTTTTTTTTAAATGTTGTCCATAACTAACTGGACTCCAGTGTCAGCACTGCTCCCTAAAGCAAAAGTCCCTAAAGTTTGCACAGGTCTGTTGTTCTGAGAAATGAGAGCTGTAAATCCCAACTGGACACATTGATCTAATGACAAGCTTTCCAAAGCAGTCATAGGTTCCCTGTTATCAGGATCCAGAAATAAATGTTGTTTGTATGTTTGACATACAGTATGCACTCTTTGGCATATTTAACTCTTTTTATCCTTCTTTTCCAGGCCAGACCGCTGCCACCGAAACGGATCATTGTGTCAGCTCGATTCCTGAAACCCATCAAGGAACCATGTACAATATTGTACGTTAAATTTCCCCCATTTCACACAAACCATTTTAAACTGTTTTGCCACAATCCCAACCAATGGATTTTGCCTATAGTTTTCAGATTCACTTACAAGGATATCTTAGTTTGTGTCTTCAATATAGTATATAATATGTATACAACTCTCAACTCCGCAGATAATGTCATGGACTGCTGATTCCTGAACTCACAGTATACTCTTGAACTTCAAGGGATACCCTTGGCTTCACTGAACTCAGAGGGACACTGTATACTAAGTTTTGCTTTAACCATGTGTATTTTGTTTACTTTAGTGTTGTAGCAAATGGAGATGTCTTGAACCCCGCTATGAGGCTGTTGATTCACCAGAGGATGCTTGGTCAGTTTGACAGAATACTAGAGTTGATCACAGAGAAGATGGGTTTGAGAGTCCTGGGGGGTGTTCGAAGGTACAGCCTAAAAAAATGCTCACTTCACATATGGACTGTATTTTTTCCCCTGCGTTATGATATCATGTATGTCGTTACTTGTTAACAAACAACTCGAGAGCAATACATGACAGACATTTCAGACTTACACCACATGTTCTTCCATTATAACAGATGATCTCATTAGATTTTCTCACACCTTGCTACATGAATTTGCATATAAATGAAAAAGAAACAGATTTTCTTTAAACTGCTACACATCACAACTTTTGAATAACTTTGCTCTTGTGATATATGAACAGAAACACACAGTATGTTGACAAATGAAAACAGTATGCACGGGTCAATGTTTTAACTATCTTATAAATTACTTCATACTAATTATGGGATATATTCGGCAACTCAAGTGCATCTTGTTTTGACATACTGGTACATTTTTTTACGTTATGCCTGTTTCTTAGTCTCTACAGCTGTGAAGGCGACCAGGTGACTGATGGGAATCAACTGGAGAGCAGTCAGCTTTATGTGGCTGTGGGAAGAGAAAGGTTTAAGAAGCTGCCATACAGTGACCTTCTCTTCACCAAACCCAGAGGGACAAGGAGAGTCAATGGGTAAGCACCGCACTATAGAAAATATATTGGAGTAACATGTTGTCTACAGCTTAAAGTTAGAAGTGTTTTTAGTCACACATCTGCTATGTTATGTTGTTATTTGCCATTGCAAAAATATTTTTAAAAACTCACTTTTACAACATGCATGTATCTTTGGAATCTATTCAGAAATACACTGTTTATTAGAAAAGTGTTCTAAAGAGTATTCTATTTGTTTTGTCCTTCCTCATATAGCACAACCAAGTCAGCAAAAGAATGTTGTAATTGGATGTGCCTTTATAGCTTTGGACTTTTCATTTTATTTTTCTTGCTTATCTGCACTCACTTATCTTACTTATCCGTCCTGCAGAACACATATGAAAACCTTTAAACTGACAAATAACTTATTAATTTAACAAGATTGATGAAAAAGACACATTATTAGTATCCATCAGTATGTAGATTCCTAAGTCCTTCATGAAGAGTTGTGGAAATTTAGTACTATGGCTGCCAGGGATGGTTCTTAGAGACCATTGTGCTCCAGTGTGGCAGCTAATGACTCCTTCAGGACCTAAAATCTGCTTTCAACCCTCCTGAAACCTTCATCGCTTACCTTCAAATATTATTTTAAAGATGGATAATTTGGTGCACGTGAATAAAAATGTTGCCTCTCTTGGTGCCATGTTTAAATCATTTTACAGTTTATTGAAATAAATGAAATCTGGAAGAAAATGTCTAAAATTTACCATTTCATATGAACATACACAAAGCTATGTAGCTTTCTGAAAACACAAATGTTTTAGCAGGCTTTTTTTTACTATACTGATTAATTTAAAAAAAGTACAGTGTTCATTTTCAGATTAACTTTATTTCACTTTACAAAATTACATTGCTAATTTCAGGTGCGTGTGATCATGAAATAATTTTTTGTCTGTTTTGTTTACAGAATGAAAGCTTACTCCCTACCGCCTATCTACAGATTCTCCAAGCAAAATGGAAATGTAAGAATTGCACATGAATTATTAAGATTATTTTATTAAATAAATAAATAAATTAAATGAAAAATTAAAAGCTTGCATACTGGACGTTACTAATTAGCACAGCATTCTTGAACATATACCAAGTAGAGGAAAGTATTTGATTGTCTGTATCATTTAGTTGCTTTGACTTTATTTAATAAAGAACATGGATGAAAGATTTGGAGTAGAAGTGAGTCTTCAAATGTTAAAACTTGTTCAAGTGTATAATTTGGCCTTGTTGTCTGAATAGTAAAAACAGTTCTCATTTATTCAGCCCTGACAATATTTGGCCTTAACTTTGAAAGCAAAACTGTGAGCATTCATTTAAAAAATGCCAGGTCATGAACTTCAGATAAACAGAAGCAGAGAGTGTTGATATTCCCATGCTGCATATGCTCTAATTGTTGTCAAGTTTTTCGCCAACTGAACTTGACTTATATTTCCTCCAGAGTAAGTCTATGGTACGATGCAGCGATAGTGGCGATGGAGACTCCAAGGCCTCTCCTCCAGGCCAAAACAACAACGAACACCTGTCCTCCATCGTCAGACAGATCTCTCAGGCCAAACTCACCTCCCTCAGGAAGAAGAGGAGTGGACAAAGCATGACCCTCGGCATTTCTGATAATGGTAAATGCAGAAACATGTGGAGCAGATTGGAATGGAATATGTTATACCTGCTAATTCCAAATAGGCCTGACGAAGAGAGTGTGGGTTTGGAGCTCAGCAGCACCATATTCAAAGTCAGAACAAGGAGATACAACTGTAGTTCCTATTTGTGTCTTTTTTGTTTGAGTATTAGAGATTTGTTGAACAATAGGAATTTTATTCAACAATTATCTTATGTAAAGAAAAAATTGCTGTTTATAAATCCATGATAAAGTGAATATATTCCTGGGTGGATGCATACATATGCGGCTGCGTGTATTTGTGCAATTACGAAGGTGAATGCGTGGCTCAGAAGACAGAACGTCACTTCTAACAACAATGTCACTCTGTCATACTGTCACTGCTACCCGGCCTTTTAATGTCTGTATGTCTCAATTGTATTGTCCCATAAATAATTACTATAACATGTGGCACAGATAGGCCTTTTATGCAATTATGATGAGTTAGACAGATATATGATGTAATGCATGGCCTTTGAAATCTTATGTAACCTGCTACAATCTCAAATGCCCACATAGTGGCACTGTTGCTCTGCAAAAAATGTAGCAAGTAATATTGAAAGTAGGTTTAGCATGATGACATTAACTACTACTACAAGAAACACATTACATCATCTTCTGGAGTTATTATAATGTCCTGCAGAAACTCTGTATCTCTAGTGAGTCTTTACTTTTGTCCTCATTGGCAGCTGGCACTCCTCTGAACATTAAGATATTTAGTTGCACTGGGACCCTAACAGATGTTTTCCATGAATGGTATACGCATTTTATGTAACAATGTGCGTGGGAATTGAGAGCATTTTACTGTAAAAGTGATTTAGATTTTCTGCAGACGGCCTCTGACATTGTTGTAACGCCTACTGCGGTATGAACCACATTACGTCATCTTGTGGCTCATGATAGATGTTGCCTGTTTCGTCGTCTGGCAGGAGAGTTGACAGCCGAAGCCTAAAGGAGCGTGGAGAATTGTGTCTGTGGTTCAGGGGAGCTGGCATTTTGCATCAAAAGAGTGGGATGAGGAATGTGCGTGTGTCTTTGTCTGTGTCTGCACGTGCACGTGTGCTTTTGGAACCTGTAATGTCACCCTCAAAATCCTCAGTACATCAGATTGCATGGCATGTCGTATTACAGGCAGAGCAAACCATGTTGCATTATTGGTCCCCTTGGGTGACATTGACCAAAGATTAAATTAACAGACAGACAGCTTGGAAAACAAGATCAGGCATTAGACAAGATTGTTTGAATGGCTTAGAGAGCATATCCCGTTATCATGCACCGTTCACTGTTTGACCTATTGTCTTTTTCAAATGCTGTCATTCTTTTCTTAATAGTTCCCCTTATTTGTTTGGCTTAGTATTTGAGTGTAGTATATATAATACAGTCTATGTATGGAAGTTATGGTCTCTGTTCATGGTTCTGAACAGACTTTTTGTAAGAGACAGGAAGTTGAGGTTTACCAAAGGTATCTTTACTCTTTTTGTTTCTCTCACAAATTATATCAATGCTAAAATGTTTGTGCATGTGGCTGCTCTAAAGCAAACAAGCTGGAGTCATAGCTGCCCACTGGCTTACCAAAAACAAATGAGTTTTGTACCCATTAGCAGCTACATTTAGTGCTGTGGTCATGTTTGTCCGGTTTACTTCTAGGAACACAGCATTCATATCCGCATTTGTTGAGAGATTCACAACAACAGCACATACGTACATACCGTTGTTATTTTCCCTTTGGGAAATCCTGCCCTGGCTGGGCATGAGGTAAACAGACCCGTTCTGGTGCCAAAAGGAACATAGCCAAAAAGTTGACTAGCAGAGGCTGTGGAAAGGACACAGCATGAAACCCACACTTCAGATCTCCGGTGTGCTGGAACACTGGAATGAAAACAAAAGATTATCATAAAGGTGTCATGTCATTATAAATGTATTTCTGAGGGGGTGGTGGGGGAGATAGAGCGATGCACAGACTGAAAGAAGAAGAGAGACGAAAAAAGGCGAATGAGACAGAGTGGCCGCGTAACTCGAGATTCTCCCTCTGTTCCGTGCTGACTCTGTTGTGACATAGAGGTTAGTTTTCGTGTGTGTGTATGTGTGAGTGTCAGCATGCCAAGTCCCCATTATTCACTGTCTATCAGCTGCTGGGAGCCAGACTGAGGTTAACTCCAGCAGTTTCTGTCTGGTGTATTGTAAAGCTCCTGACTTTTCTGCTTCATTAGAGTGAACACAGTGGTGAGTGACAGCAAAGACAACGGGAGAGGCAATGCAACAACTCATGCAGCAAAGGTCATGGAATGAATTTGAACGTTCTATAACAAAGACATCTGGCTAAGAAGACTTAACCAACAAGACATGTTTGTCACCCAAAACAGTTACACTTTAAGCAAGCTCTTTTAAATTGGGATTGACCAGTGTTAGCTTTTTCTTTCAACAACACATCCATGTTCAGGTTGTATATAACCAATTAGCAGGTGTTGTTAACCTCACACTGGAAATGGGACATTCATCAGTGTTCCCTTTCATAAATGGACCTGTGGCCAGTTCAGTTAATGGCTCCCTTGAGAAGGAAGGAGAGAAGAAGTAAAAAGAGAGGCAGCAGGAATGGTAAAAGAGAGAAGAAGAAAATACAGGTTATGGGGCATAGGATGTAAAGAGAATGGAAGATAAAAGAAGGTTAAATAAGAGGGAATAAAAGGTTGAGTTGATGAAGGTAGAAGGGAATTATGACGATGGAGGAAGAGGGAAAAAAGAGCACAGGTGGAATCAAATAGTGACCATGATGAATAGCCTGAAATGGTGGAGCATGAGCATCGAAAGGGGAGAAAAAAAGGCCCAGAGATATTGAAGGGATGGGAGGGGTTTGGATAATTGCCTTTCATTTGGATAATCTCCCCATTTAGAGTCATCAAAGCAGAATTTTACTTGCCTTTGGCCCTTGCTGGGGCCAAATTGCTGCTCTGAAAATCAACAAAAGAGCATTGCACTTTAAGAAAGAAGGGAGAGGGAAAACACAGCAGAACTGGAAGGAGAAGGGCGTCCACTGACGAGGGTGTGTCTACTGATTATCAGGATTCTTGCATGCGTTGTCTGTGTCTCTGCATTAGTGAGAAACCACACAACTATTGTGGGCCTTTTTGATTTTCAAAATGATGTGTGTGTGCGTGTGTCTATGTCAGGTCTATTTTTAACATGTTTAGTATCTTTCAAAATAAGCAAATTGGCCTCCTTTATATAATGGTGAGAATATGACCAAGAATTACAACATTGATGATACACAATTGCTGCTTTTACACGCATATGTGTCCGGATTGGCACAGACAAGAATGAGGTTAGTTGATGCAAAGTATAATCAACACATAACATGATGTAGTACCTCCTATGGATTTCCATGCAGACTCAGCAGCCTGTAACTCAGTAATATGGTAGAAACGACTTCGAAAAGTGTAACAGCAGTTCCAGTTAATAGTACATTTTACAACAGCAGGAAATTAGACACACACACCCAAAGGTCTTCATCCTGTGCTCTTTCACACACGAACACCTACAGAGCAGTTTTGTATCTCAATTGTGCGGTCTCCAGTTTCAAATAACCCATGTAACACTGCCAGCGCTGAAGCCTCAAGGACATACACTTTACACAAAAGCTCATGTTCCAAGTAGCCTGCTGCCTTCTTTTCATGTACTGGGCTCCATCTTTGAATGTAGCAGGAGCCAATTCAATTTATGCTACATAGTGGATCCACATTATTTTCGTTGAAGGGATTTTGATTTGAATTGCGGGAAGTTTTAAGTTGACGTATTTTTTTAGAAAAACTCATTTCAAAAAAATCTAAATGGAAACATTCTTGGTATTATTTGTTAGTTGAATGTGAGAGTGTGAGAGCGTGTGTGTGTGTGTGTGTGTGTGTGTGTGTGTGTGTGTGTGTGTGCACATGCACAAGCCATCCAGACAGATCAACCTTCTGCCTCTGGTGTCATAAAATGTGATGCTGCCTTGGGGAATTAGCCATGTTAGCATATGTATCTGTAATGCCTGTCAGAGTGAAATAGGGTTCAAAACAGCGTTGGGAGGCAGGAGACATGTACACAAAGAGGCAGTGTGTCTTAAATCGTGTGCCTGTGTCAAAAAAAAAGAGGCTCAGCAGCGAAGGATGAGAGATGGCAACATTTAAGAACGTCTTTTTCACCTCTCTTTGCCAAGTTCTTAGAAATTGTGGTTTGTGTTATGTGTGTTATGTGTGTGCCTGCTTTTCTGTGCATTCGTGCAACACACTCATATGTCACATTTCAGACAACACGGCCATCCTTACCAATCCCTCCTTCATTCTTCCTCTCCTTTCATCTCTCCTTTTTAACTACAGCAGAAAAAGGTTCTTCATGACCCTTTGATGCAGGATTACTGGATTAAAGAGCAGGGTAGCTGTGCTAATCTGCTGCATTAATCTGCTAACAAGTGTTTCAGCTGTGACATACAACAGAGCCGGCTGTGACATATGAAGTATAGAGTTAAAACGTGTGACACTTTCAATGACGCATTTCCCCCCATTTCTGTCACTTCTAATCTAGCCTGCTTTGCGTGTTTTTGGTTGTGTTTTTTATTTTTTTTATTTTTTTATTTTTTTTTAGCTTGAGCTAGTAGATGCACATGTGGAGAAGTTGTCATTGGAAAATCTGCAAGATTTGTATCAGACAGAGACACCAGAACAGCGTTGCCATTCAACCAAAATGGTAAGGGTAAATATGTGACATTTTGTGGAGATCTAAAGTTTACATCACTTGTTGGAGCAAGGCTTAGGAGGGCATCTGGAGTTGCTGGGTTGCCATCATTATTATAATGCATTTGGGAAACATTTTCAAATGTTGTGCATTATTGTCATTTACCCGTTTTAGTCCAAATAATGCAGTTTGGGGTGCAAAGACAACATGAAAACATATTGCAAAACTTAAAATAACATCAGCACAGTGCAGATT